TCCTCACTGTCCCTAAGGTCAGTTAACAATAATACTCCAGTATAGGGTCCATTGTCCATTTCTATACCTGCAACTTTCATAAGACCGAATGCCTAGCCAACAAACCAACCAGCAGTCCGTCCCTCCCATAGATGCAAAAGCCAAAGTCGCAACGAGATAACTATAGCCAATTAGGTTACATCCACACTACTATGTTTTAGTTTTAAAACGCATATTTTTTGTTACATTTACACCTGGCGTCCACTCTACTCTGGAGTGTCAGAGAGAGAGATTTTAGAGAGGTTTTGGAATTGCTGCTGACCCTGTTTAAGTGAGAAAACTCCTGGGTTGCGTTGTAGTCTGGATGGACAGAAACCAAGACCTTTGGAAATGATGATATAGACACCCACGGTTGCTCTCTGATTGGGTCTTATTAGCCTCAGCTACCAGTGGTGAAAGCAAAATGGACAATGAAATACAAGTGTTACTGACCTTGTTGTCTTTGCCAGCAGCTGTTTTAGAGCTAAATTCTGAATATTAAAGCTACAGCTGTCTTTGCTGTTTCGTAGTATTTTCTGCAACTTAACTGCAGAGTAGACAATCTGCTTCCTGTTTACACCAACACGTGCATCCTCAGAGCTAGAGCGGTCGTCTGGACTGAGATAGTTTTAAGTTTGAAATGCTGTTTCAAACTGAAAATGCCACCTGGATTTGGGCAACGTTCCCGTAAACTGCGGTGGGTGGTGCAACTACTCACAACATGGTATCTAATGTAGACAGTTATCATTAATCTCTGACTGCAAATAAACTTTGTTTTCATGGATGGAAATATTTTTGCAGATTATGTAAAAACAAAAATTCTAATTAATCAGATTAATTTGATATATCACCAAGGTGAAACCCAGTTGAATTCAGGAGGTTTCACAGCTGTTTATGAGGAATGATACAATAAGGGAAATGGTGAAACCCACAAAATAAATGGCGGCTGCAGGTGGATGGGATCAACATCTCATACCAAAGATGACAAGACCAAGGAAACCAGGAGTCGTTTTTTCAATGGAGTACCGAGGGTCAGGATTAAAGTTCTGGGTGAAAAGGAAGCAAATTCACACTCACAGAAAAAAATAACAGCTGTTTTTTTTTCCCCAGGATTCAATAACACAAAATACAAAGTCCAAGATAGAATGTGCTTGAGTGGTCATTAGGAATATTTCCAAAATGATGATGCACCACCACACTGAAAAGCAATCATACAAATTCCAACTTTAGTCAAAGGAAAGCATGTTTTTCAGTGAAACACAATTACCATTAATGTCCAAAAAGATGTACAGCTTCTTCTTTCTTTTTTCCTCTAAAAGTGAGCGCTCTTCCTTGACAAGCATCACCTGTTTTGGCTGTTTTCTGAAGGGAACTTGCACCCGTGAGAGAATTCTTCTGTTGCAAAAAGCCTGGTTTGTAGCCATGAAATGCTCCCAACCATCCTGATTTGACCAGGTTGATAACGGAGATAGATGTTTCAGAGATAAAAGCTTTCATGTGTATTAGTAAAAGGTTAATATTTTGACCTTTCCAACTGCATACAGATTGGTCACATAGGTAAAACACTCTGCACTTTGCTGTTACTTACAAGCAGAAGTCACTGGAATACCATTAGAGCAAGCAGTCAGTATTGTAATCATTTATCATTTTATTGCATTGTTTTAAGTCCGTCATCGTCACTCAAAGTTTGCTATTGGACAACAAATGGTCTGTGCTGCAAATGATCCAACTTTTCCAACAGTATTTTCTCAATTGGCTGGGAGTCGGCATCAGTAAACGTCCCTGCGATTATTGACAAAGCAAACCACCCTCAGCCTGTGTTGGACAGCCGGCTTCATTAAATCCCAGCAAACATTTCTGTCCAGAGAGCGGCTGTGGGTGTGTTTGCATGTCTGAGGGCCACGTCCAGCAGGGGGCAATCGACTCCCACACACTGACACATCGAGGGCATTTGGGCAGCCAGGCAGCTGAGAGTAATTGAAGCCAGAAGTATCTATGCTGGTGTGATCCAGATGACCGTAAATAACACAATACTAATGACAGCGGCTGTTTGCAACTGTGTGTCTATCCATCAGGTCTCATGCCTCGCTAGTTTCCCACCCTTTGCACTCGTAGTATTTTGGAGGGAAAACATCTCAATGCTAGAGGCAGTACACACACACATTTCCCTTAACGGTTGTCGTAAGATGATGAAAGCCCGGTGCTTTCTGCTGGTTGGTTGTCGCATGCAAGTCAAGTAGGAAGGGATTGATGTTCCTCTTATCATGCATGTATGAAAAAGGGGAAGTGCAGACATGAGCAGCTGCAGTCACCCCCCCCCCCTCCACTGCCCCACCCGTCTTTCACCCACGGGGCTGCTTTTTTTTTTTTTTTTTTTTCTTGCTCGTGCCCAGACAGCGGTTGATGACGCTGCAGTCGGGACCGCGGCCTATCTCTCCCGCTCTCTCTCTCTCTCTCGCTCACATGCGCGCACTCCTCTCTCTCTCTCTCCCTCTACAAATGAAGGCTGAGTGTATTTATAGTCCAGTGTGTCACCCGGCAGCCAGCGGACGGGGGATTACCTTGGCCACGATGAACAAACGGGGCCTCATTCAGAAACAGCCGCTTGCTCGGTGACTCACGGCCACACAGGCAGGGTTCACCACACTTTCACTGCTGAGGTATTTTGCTGCGTGAGTGTGTGTGTTTTTGTTTGTCTGGCAGATTTCCCCGCATCATTATTAGGTGTTATATCAAATCAAAGAAGGCCAGGCTCGGTGGCTGCATGTTGATGGAGAATATTTCTCCCCCAAATTGAGTGCAAACTTCTCAAAAATGTGAGGGTTACAGTTGAAGATGACGTGCTCGCTTCATGTTGGAAGGCCGCTGTTGGTGTTGCACTTATTCCTACTTTCAGCTGTTGCACTGTTCAGAGGAGAAGTGGTGTTTTTCAAATAACCACATCTAAGTATTTATATGAAAAGTAATTTGAACTGACCAAACCTCTTCCCACTTCCCTGGTCAGCTAAAATCAACAATAGTTCAATCCATTTTTGGGAATCTCATCGTCTGAAACATGTTGCTATAAAGAATAATTAATGTACTAACTACTTAGATTTTCAGCAGGTAAAAGTTTGGGAAATTTTTTTTGAAATATATGAAAATACATGCAAATCTACCTAATTTTTAAAGTGAGGGCAGTTATAGTTTGTAGTTGTTTTCTGACATCTCACATTATCATATTACTGACTAATATTACTTCATGCTGCACTGACAGTCATCACACGTGCCTGTCTCATGATGCACAGTGCTCATTTTTAGCCTCAGTTCCTTGACTTAACTCTTTCTGAGGCTTTGAAAGCACGACAGGTGACAGCGTTCATCGCTGACTCAAACCAGAAAACAACTTGTAAACCAGCAGTGCTAGTTGAAAGCTCAGGCCGGCAGCTATCACATTTCATTGTAGAATTCCACTTTTTTTCTGTAGCACAAGTTTCTTGTGTTTACCTTAAATTGTGTACGCTGAATTCCTGAGTAGATTCATATTTTATCTTGAATTAAACTTGGTGTGTGTGACAGTTTGTCTGCTCAGCCGTGGTAACTCTTACTACTCCTGCTTTTATACTCAGTTGTTCATTTGTGTATAATTTCAAGTCTGACTGAGTCTCAGTTGAATCTTTTTAAATGTCATTCTTTTTAGTTTATCAGCCTGTTTTACCTCGGAAATGTTGGCCTCTCATTCCACGAATTAATGTTTGTGCTTTTTGTGAGTCGTAAGCGTTGGAGGATGTTTGACTTGTAATGTGAGTACACATTGAGAGACAGTCAGATGAGTGTCCTGGTCCATTGTCATATTTGAATTGCAGAGTGAGCTTAGCCGTTTCTGCACACTGTCAACTTGACAATATGTACAGGTGCAACATCTTTGTGATACAACATGCTACAGGAAGGGGGGTGGATTTCACCCTTTTAGAAATCTCTGAAAGCTCTGACTCCTGTTAGAGGATCCTCTCTCTCTCTCTATCTCTCTCTCTCTATCTCTATCTTCTTCTCTCTCTTTCTCTCTCTCTCTTTCTCTCTCTCTCTCTCTGTGGCATCAACAGCAGCTCAGGGGCTTCCCTCCAAATCTGGGAGCAAACAAATATTGTTGTATTACACTTGCAGCTTTGTAAAAATCATAAATGTTTCTATATAGTATCCTTGAAATTAGCTTTAATTACCTTTTTATGGCGTCATTGCTTTTATTTGGTCGTATGAAAGTCAGGAGACAAAATGCAGGTAAGAGAGGGGGAGTGATGAGTGAGTTGCTCCGGGTCTGTTAGAAATGCATGTTACATGTCTTAAACACTGAGCTACCAGTACTCTTAACGGCATTTTCATCATTTGTCATGAATTATTTCTTTTATTGTATTAATTTACTCCTAATAAAAGGGCATTTGCCTAACACTACAACAACAACAGTTTGTTTGTTTAAAGGCACAAGATTCAACCTTAGTTTGATGATTACGCTACAAAACGTGAGAGTAGCAGCTTGATTTGGAGCTCAAGACTAAGAAAAGCAGAATGTCAAACCTGTATTCTTTGTCTTTGGGTTATTAAGATTTTGGATGTATTGTAAATCCTTTTAGATATGAGTTACGTTAGCTCTTCCCTTTCTTAAATACGACCATCCTGCAGTAATTTAATGTTTTCCGTTTCATAAAAGAAAAAGACAGTGGGGTCTATCTGTAAACTGTTAACGGGGGACATTTGTTAGCTGTTGGTTTGCTCTGTTGAGACTGTGAGCGGTTGGTTAGTTAGTACACAGTATCACAGAGAGAGAATGCTGCCTCGGCCTCACGGCATCTGTGCTCAGTGGAGAATGTGCTTGATCACGTTAAAGAAACAAATCATTATCAGTCACTCAAGTCTTGCACAAATCCACTGCAAAATTCACACCAAGCAACCCTTAGCTCATCGTTGTTGTTTTTTTTTTTTTCTTTCTTCTTCTTCTTCCCCCGCAGATACTTGGAGAAGTATGAGAAAGTCCACCACTTCGGCGAGGATGATGAAGAAGCGCAGCCGGGGAATCCCAAAGCCTCTCTTCCAATCGGTGCAATTCCCAACTCTTATAACTACCAGCAACACATTGTATCAGGTAGGCAGAGACAACACGCTTCGTATTCAGTAGCCCTCACTCTCTTCACCTAGTTCACCCTTCCATTTGTGTCTGGGTCACGTCTGTATCAGGTTCATGGACTCAGTCTCTGCTTCTTGTTTTCTGACTCACTCAGTTTCTCTCCGGACTTCATTCTGCCTCTCTGTCTCTTGGTCAAGATGTGATTTCAGCAAAGCATCACTTCATCAGAGCTGTGTGTGAGATGCATGGGAAAGTGGTCGACCCACAGGTCAAACATATGCATAGAAATGTGCCTCAACAATAGCTGTTTGTTTCAAGGTTTTTCTATGTGTTAGAATTTATTTCACGAGGACATGACGAGGAAGAAAATAACGCCGATTGCAAATTATGATGAATGTCCAGTTAGCTTCAATGTCTCCAATAGTTTTACAAGCTCCAGAGGTTCGGCTTAAAAGTGTTTTTGCACTTTTAATTTCAGCTGTTGGGAAATTCACTGTGCTGTGTTGTGAAAACACGTCAGATTTTCATGTGCTGTAGTCAAGCAGGCTGCATGTTAGAGCCCGAAAGATACAGCATTTTTAAGGCTGATGCTGATTTCAATGTTTGATGTTTTGAAAAGATCTGATAACGATTTATCAGCCAATATTTTGAAACCTCACTGCAGCTGGCACATGGTTCAAGTACGTTACACATGGGAGTGGGCGATCTGACGATCTTCTATCAAGGGCGATATGATCCAGGTGCTATATTTAGAGGTTTAATTTAAAAATTTAAATCACTAGTAATCAGACCATCGTTACCTGTTAAACAGCTAGTCTGCTAACTGCAGCTAGCAACAGCAAGAAATGCGAAGCAGGACAAGCCGGAGCTTTCAAATCAAAACATTTGCATATTGTACTTCATAAATAAATAACAGCGCTGTCCAAACAAACAAATACTCCACATGAACTAAGCAAAAAGTCAAATTGGTTGTGACACAATTTGTTAACAGAATTGTAGGTGAAGAAAAAGCAGCGAGCGGACGAACATTCAAAAGAAGCATCAAAGCGGTGGAAAGATACAAATCACAACTTCCAGTCTGGACTTTCACAATAAATCCAGAGCAGCAATAGGATTCAGATTGTGATTGAGATCGTCTTTTGAGATTCAAATGATTTTCTGGCCACATCGCCCCACCCCTAGTTACACATATATTACATGCAAAAGGGAGGAAACAGATAACTTGGCTCTAGTATCAAACAAACAAAATCCACCTCCCAGCATCTCCAACAACCCATTCATTAACACACCCTATTTCGTGTGTTTTTAATCTGTACAAAAAACAAACAGTGTGACAATCAATATTTGCCATTTTATGTGGGGTTTTTTTTGTCCCATACTTTCTTGGCTGAGAGCAGGAGATTTTAGGAAGTTACTGCTTCTGGCCAAGAAAGAGACCAGCACATTGTTGTTTCTAAACTCTGGAGATTTGTTAATCAGTGAGCTTAAAAGGTTCTAGGCAAATTTTTTATTTATTTATTTTTTTTACCTTTGGACAGAGCAAAGTGAAGAGAGTGCCAGCTCCAGCTACATATTTACACAGACATGAGAGTGGCATCAATTTCCTCATCTAACTCTGAGCAAGAAAGCAAATAAGCAGATTTCCCAAAATGTCAAACTATTTTTGTAACCGGTTAAAGGCAGGCTGATAACATGACAACTGCATCAACACCAAACAGAGAAATCTAATGTGAAATCTAATCTCAGTAGTGAGTGTGTTTTTCTTTTTTTCTTTTTTTCTTTTTCTTTTTTTTTTTTTAACCTTTCGGTCAGGTTGTTCTGTTCTGCTAGTTTTCTAAACGTCCTTGGCTATTTTTTTCACCTGGTGTTTTTGGCACACAATCTCCATGGTGATTTTGTATTCACACCGGCATGACGCAGGTAGTCTTGAGCTGTAACACTGGCTTCTGAACATCCATACCACCTCGTCAAGCCGTTTGATTAACTCTGCATAGTAACGCCTGCTTTTCACACCAAGAAAGAATTTGTTGCAGAGCGTAGTGACGAGAAGAAATGACTGTGTCCGTTTTGTCTTTTACTTTCACCTGTGAAACCTGAGAGAGGTCCCCCCTCCCACTACTGAGCCCTCTGCTGTTTGACTCCTCCATCTCCATCAGTCTGCTCATTGTATTTAACATGCTTCACTTTTATAACACAGCGAATCATTTAATTCAGTTCTCACCTTGCTCATCGCTGCTGTTTTTGAACCAAGGCTAAGAAGAATGCAGTAACTGTCAGTTCCTTTTTTTTTTTTTTTTCTTTTCTTGGAAGTTGCCTACACACACCTCAGCGCTGGTGAATATTTTCTTAAACCCAAACATGCTGCTGCTTTCACGATGAAAGAGCAACCTCTGAGTAACCACATCATATTTCAAACTAAATGTTTTTTGTGCAGCCGGCCAAGGCCGACCTCTTGTCTGTTCTGTCCGACCCCTGCTCTCACACACACACACACACACACACACACTCTCTCTCTCTCTCTCTCTCTCTCTCTCTCACACGTATATCATTACTGAATGTGGCTTGTCCATTAGCCTCACAGTGTTATAGAGCTGACTGCTGAGCTTCTCTTGGAGGTAATTGACTGCCCTGACAGAGGTTATTGATGAAGGGAAGGAGGAAGCACTTGTTGGTTTTCCCTCCACCTGAGTTTAGATTAGAGCCTCCAGCCCTTCAGTTCTTCCCTCAGGCTCTTCTCTCTCACATTTAGCCCGCTGCCTGCTGAGCTGATTGACTCCAAAACGTGTCCCTGGTGGAAACAGACACACGACAAACAGTGGTGAACTTAGTCCGTGGCTTCTTGGTACAAGCCCCAACAAAAATCACATCATCATTTTTGTAATTATTTTCTTCAGTGAAAATGAAACACAGAAATGACCATTCCAACTGAAATCTGCCAAAATAATTTTTTTTTTTTTTGTATATCATTCAGCCCCGCCTCAAAACCACCTTGGCATTTCTGTCCTGCAATTTCTTATTTATTCATCCCCACTGATACTGAAACTGATGACAGTATATTTGAATCTGTTTATTGGTCTAGTCCTATTTCAGACCCTTTAAGATGAACTCTGTGTCCCCCAGGCTCTGAATTTAAATGTGACCATATCACAGCGGGACGGACAGGTTGATATTGTTCTGTGTTGGCTCAGTGATGGTTAGGTATTTGACCATTGCTCTGGAAATATTACACTGAGCTGTGGTGTGCCCTGTTGTTATGTTTTGCTTGTACACCTGGGATGAACTTCTAAGTCACTCTGCTCATAAATTCGTGTGTGTGTCATGTGGCATGTCGTACACCTGTCCTCTGCAGCTCTGTGTCGCTGCAGGTGTTGGAGGATGAGCACAGACTGGCAGGTTTTGAATGGAGCTGTCGCTGCTATAATAGCAGCTCGGCTGAATTACATTTGCCTGCACAAACCTTTTCAGCATGGAAATCAAATCCACTCACCAGGACTCCTCTCTGCTGTATGATTGGTTTCCAGAGGCAGCAGTCGACAAAAATCCTGCACCGAATTGAAATATCCACTGTATAGAAAAATGACACCTATGCACACAAAATGATTGATAGCAGAAAATCACACCATAGCGCAGTGAGGAATCTGGAGTCTTTGCACTTTCCCAGACTGGATCATCTGTCACTTAGTGCTGCTGAATAATAACATCCAAATCATAATTCTTCCCTCTGCACAGCCCTCTTTAGTATTTTGGATTAGACATCTTTAATTATAAAAAGCCAATCATGGAGGTTGACTGAGTCCGAGACAAACACAATTAAAAGTTCCTCAACCAGACGAGGCACAGCTCATCAAGCTACACTGAACCAAAGGCAGCTTTCACTGAACGGCTTAAAGGCCCAAACACAGATAAAGGAAACATAAAACTGAGTGTAAGTGGCTGAAGGTGTGAAGAGGCAGCAGTAGAACGGTGAAGGAACTGGGCTTTTCACTCTTTCTGCAGCTCTGTGGCTAATTCACATGTTGCAAACTACTAACTCTTCTACGTCTGTCTTGTCCTGCTTTATTTCTTGTGTGTGGCTCCTCGGAGACGCAGTATCTCCCCCGCCTGTGTTGTTGTGATGCTTCTTTTCCTAGCTTTAAGTTCAAAAGTGCTGATTTATTTTTCCCCTTTCGAGACATTTGTTGAAGGCTTCTACATTAATATTAAAATATATTGAAATTTTTTACATAACCAAACTTGCGTTTGTATGAGCTGCACTGCACACTGTTTAGCCCTGTTTTGGCAACAAATGAAAAATGTTTAAGTGGGTGTGTGACATTTCACTCACCTCGCTCACTCATTTAAATGCATTTTATTGTGGAATATATTTAGTAACCCTGAGATATTTTGTTTTTGTTTTTGTTTTTTTTTTCTCTCCAGACTATCTCCGCCAAAGCTATGGACTGTCTACGGATTTCGTTCCACCGTGTGACTACAATAAACTGGTGCTGTCTCTCCTCTCGGGCCTACCCAACGAAGTGGACTTCGCTGTTAACGTTTGCACTCTGCTTTCCAACGAGAGCAAGCACGCCATGCAGCTGGACAAGGACCCCAAACTGGTCACGTTGCTGCTGGCCCACGCCGGCGTCTTCGACGACTGTACGTTTCCAACCTCAGTCAGATTGTGCTCTTTAGTTCTAATGTTGAACAGCCGACAAAGAAACTTTATGATATAAACTTTAAAAAGTTGATTCTGTACATTTAGTCAGTGTGAATATTGGTAAAACTGCTAAATTCACTATGTGCAAAGTGAATTAAAGTTGTTTTGTTTTTTTTTTGTTTAGGTTCTATGTACTTATATAACAGGGAATTGATGAACAATAGAATAGATGCAAGTAGTAACTCTAACCCTCCCTCTGTGCCTCTGTAGCGCTAGGCAGCTTCTCCGGGGTATTCGGGACAGACTGGAAGGAGAAAACGTCCCGGGACTTTGTCAGGGTAAAGGTCTTTTTTTTTTCTTTTCTTTTTCCTTTTTTTTTTTTTTTTTGTTAATGTGTTCTGCAAGCCGTTTATTTCTCATTTGATCGTTACAGATAGAAATGAAACACTGCTCTCTCTAAGAAGCCACAGAGCTTTTCGCTTTTTACAGTGTGAAGTTTGGCAGAAAATCTGATGGTTGCTCCTCACAGAGGAACCTCAGAGCAGTTTTCTCTTAAGGCGGTTTTACACTGATTTCACTTTGAGTTCAGTCCATGTAACCTGCGTGCATGAAAGTCAATTCATGATATTAATGCAATATAAAAACTACATTGCGTTATTGTTTTATCCTCGGTCATGGCTCGGGTCTCTTGGCTGTTTGTCCTGAAGTTAGAGGTCACACTCTGTGAGAGCTGGTGCCTGTAGCTCAAGGACATTTTGTATCTAATGCAAACGGCTTTAATGGGGGTTATGTTATTAAAAATGTGGATGTCGTGATTATGGAAAAAAAGTGCTTAAAGTTCCAAGGAAGATAAGAGCTGAAACAGTTGGTCAATTCATCAATCGACAGAAACTTAGACATCAACAACTTTGATTTACACAATCTTGCTGCAGAGGTCTTCCATGATAGCAAATTGAATATCTTTAGTTTCTGGACTGTTGTCTGGACAAAACAAGCAATTTCTCTATGTCAAATTAGGTTCTGGAAAAATGTAGCAAGCATTTTCACTACTTTTTCGATTTGGTCCATATAGTGTCTGAAAATAATCAGCAGATTATTCAGCGATTTAAATGATTTTTAGTTGTAGCACCATTTATGATATTGACACTTCTGCCATGTTAAGGTTATATGATAAAAGTGCTTACCTGGCAGTGAGCTGATTGCCCCACTAACCTCAGTGTTATGGGTTTTGTTTGGTTGTCAGCCAGCAGTAACTTGAAGTTGATGAGTTAATCAGGTCTGTCAACGTACGTTTGTCTAATTTAAAGTTGCCTAATTTGGCTGTAGACGTTTTATAAGTATGACTTTAAATGCCCGGCTAACAGCCTCTGTGTTTCTGCAGTTCTGGAAAGAGGTGGTGGAGGACGCTGAAGTCAGGGAGCTGATCTGGGACAAGGGCAGCCCAGCACAAGGTAAACACGCTCTGTGGTAGAGACCACAGAAAACAATATAAGGGTACACTCCTGTATGCTCCCATGGTGAATTTATTGACACCTAACGGGCTGTGACATGCTCAAGTGTGCAGACGTTGTTTACTGTGATTTCTTTTTCAGTTTTCCTGGTTTAATACCTGTGAGTGAGAAGTGTGATGTGTTTTGTTGTCTTTCTTCTGGAACCAGAAGTTCCGACTGAGCATTTCACATTTCATTTACAAAACAGTTTTTAACAATAAATGAAAGTGAAGATCACAGAATAAAACAAAGGTGGATTAAATAAATGATTGATGCACCATTCGGAGAAATGTTAACACCTGCTACACGTACTTTTACAATATACATGACAACACAAAAGAAACACAACTTCTGGCACAGGAAGCTCAGGAACTTCAATGACACAGTATATTTTAGAAACACAATTATTAGGTTTAATGTGATCCTGAAAGTTAAAGCTTTTGTAACCTGTTGAATAATATCTGCTCACACTCTCCTCTGGCGTGGAGCTCTAAACCGTTCCTCCCCTCCTCTCTGCAGATGGTACGTCGTGTGAGGAGCGCTGGCAGAGCCTCTTCCACCCGCCACGGAACCTCGGTATCAGTGACATGGAGGCCCAGCGGGTGCTGCAGATTGCCGTTATCCTGCGAAACCTCTCCTTCGAGGAGGCCAACGTCAAGCTGCTGGCGGCCAACCGAACGTGCCTGCGCTTCCTTTTGCTCTGTGCCCACTGTAACCTCATCTCACTCCGACAGCTCGGACTGGACACGTTGGGCAACGTGGCTGCCGAGGTGGGTCTGGTTCTGGGCATTTGTTTTGAATTTGAACAGAGACATACAACTGTTGGTCAGTGACTTAAAAACTGATGTCATGGATTTGGGTCAGTTCAGTAATGTAGTATCAGTGAGCAGCCTGAGGTAGGTTTGTATCCAGATGTAGGTTACTGTGACACGTTAAACTGTCCATGTATGAGATCAGTGTTGTAAAACTGTATTACATTCTTCATTGACGTGGTCTGAACAGATTTAATCCATTATTGGCTAAGTCCCTCCCCTATTTAGCATATTGTTCAGTCACAGCATAGCAACAGTAACTAGGCACAGCAGGTTTTTTTTTCCAAGGTTTGGATTTCTCCAGGGGTTGACGTGATGTACATTAGGCTGAGTTCCAAGAGTTTGGGAGTGTTTAATTGCAATTATTAGCATGTGTGATGAGGACAAGGAGCTTGTCATTAACAAACTATAGCACAGTGATTTGTGGGGTTACAGTTTATGCTTAATAAAAATAGGTGGACTAGTATTACCACTGTGACACATAAAAAAAAAAAAACTAAAAAAAAACACTTTTCAACCAGAATGTGGAGCTAACATTAGCTTGATTAATTAGCTAATTAACCAGCAAAATCAATTACTTGTTAAGTGATGAGTTACTGCTCAGAAACAGATAGATCTGCTGGGTTTATTTGGGTCAGACATGTGGTATGTTTAGAAACTCAATCATCTGTAGCTGTAGATACTGTTTCCTGAGAAATGAGGACTGCGGCTGTTAGATGCTGTGCCACTTACAGTCTGTTTTTTAGATTATTTTTCACATATTAATTCAACCAAGGTGAATAATCATATTTTCCAACAGTTACAGACACTGAACTCAACCGCTTGAATAAAGTTTTAGATTTAGAAATGAAGAATGTTGGTGAAACTTCAGTATAACATTTATTGGTACGCATGTTAATGAGGCTGCGTCTATTTTTAGGAACTCTATGCATAGAGTCCCTGATACAATCAGTGAAGCCTTTGATGTGATTAATTGGATGGTTGGGTTTAGGGCACTTTAAGCATTCTACAGATATGATCCTGCAAAGCCTTGTCTCATGTATTAATGTAAATAATATAAATCCTATTAGAGCACTTTTTGGTAGCTTATATGTTGTGACCAACAACACAAATCATCAGTAAGTAGACAGACCTCAACCTGCTGTTCTTGAATATAGTAACAAGTCGAGCTTTGTTATGGTACAGTGTGTTTGTTATTCAGAGCCTATAATCTCAGTGCTGAGGAGGGCAGTCCGTCCACTCTGTAAAGTATTTATAATGAACGTTGAGGTTCTTGCCAGCTGACTTGCTGGATGGTGGAATCCATAAATAATGCTCGTCTGACTTGTAGCTCCAGCTGGATCCCGTTGACTTTCGGACGACTCATCTGATCTTTCACACCATCACCAAATGCTTGATGTCCAGGGACCGGTTTCTCAAAATGAGAGGTGAGTGCTCCGGTGGCTCATTGTGGTGACAAACTCCTTTTTTATTAAGTTTTCCCTCTTCACTGTGAATGTCATGATGGTATATGAAGCATCTTGCAATAAATGTGTCCGTGTGTCTTTGTGTTTGTCCTCAGCCATGGAGATCCTGGGCAACCTCAGTAAGGCGGAGGACAATGGTGTGCTAATCTGTGAGTACGTGGACCAGGACTCGTACAGGGAGGTAATGATGCTCCTCACCCTGCCCGACCTCATGCTCCTCATGGCCTCCTTGGAGGTGCTGTACCTGCTGGCCCAGCTCGGAGAGATTCCCTGCAGCAAGATCGCCTCCGTAGACCACAGCATAGGTATGAGAGTTTAAAAAAAAAAAAAGAAAAAAAAAGAAAAGAAATCATGGAAATTTACTTGGCTTGTCTTTTTAAAAAAAAATGTTTGATCCATTCCAGTTCATTCTTCTTAAGTGAATCCAGAGCTTGAAATCTGATGTCACATGGTCTTAGTTGAGTTTTGGTAACTTGTCTGTCTGCCAAGTTCAGTCACGCTAGTCTTTCCATTCATGAGTTACTGGCTCTGATGACAGTGTATTTCCTTCATCCTTGAAATCTTTAATGATTGTTTCCTCTGGTTTGGATTCTCTGCTAAATGGCTGAAGTGGTTCTGTGTGTTTGAACTAGGTGCTGATCCTTGTATCTTTTTCTTCTTCCTCTCTCTCTCTCTCTCTCTCTCTGGTTAGACCTTTTAGTGCGATTAGTATCGGTTGACCTTCACACATTTGGACCTGACGCCCTAACAGCGGTGCGGTTGATTGAGCATCAGGCCAACGCTGACCAGGCAGCCGAGGTTCGACCACAGCTGGTCGAGCAGGTACCTGCAGCCGTGCAGGGAGCACCAGCAGCTGGTGAGTGTCCGTACATCTCCTCCATCTGTCAGTCAGACACAATCTGTGACGCTGCTGGAGGGAGCCTGTGTGAAACCTGAACCTGATTTTTTTTTTTTTTTTTTTTTTTTTTTTTTTTTTGTTCTGCCTTAACAAGGGTGTATACCTGCAGCTCCCTGCCAGGCAAATAAGAAGAGGTTTGTTTTGAGTAGAGTGAAGTTACAGTCAGATGAAGAGCAGACCGATTGAAATGTTCAGGTGCTGAGTTTTTGCTCGCTGATTTATCAAAGCTCAATTTTAGTATTATCGAGGGATTTTCATGTGTCAGCATTTAACTCAGGTATAGGCAGTAAACACAGCTTTAGATTTAAACTATTAAGATCCACTGGAATTTTTAAATTTAAATAAAGCATTTACATACCTTTGTTTTCATGGTAGCTCTCAGGTGGCAGGACTGTAAACAAAATAAAAAAAGGCAATGTAAATAAGGCAACATGCTGTGGAAATCTGTGAATCACGATATTCAGAGTGAAGGTAACAGCGAAATCCCACCTGCCATCAACTATGTGTTGGAGCTTTAAACAACCTCTACTGTAAATACCACAGAGCAGCTTCACCTCGTCCAACCCAACAGAAACCAAACACAAATTTCTCCTGTTCTGACACAAATCAATGCAACGCACAGGGTCTGTATTTGACTGTGTGTCTGTGTATTTTGTGCCGGAGGAGACGAAGCTCCTTGTTTAACAGTAAATAATGTTTAGGTAACAAATACAGAATCACTTGCCAGTTCACAATGATTCACTCACGACCGACAAACTCACCTGTTGCTGAGCCGCACAATATTCCAACATGGCTGCGCTGCGTCCTGCTGTTTACAGGCCCGTTCTGTTTGGTGCCCCGTGCTGAATATATAATATTTACATCCTTTTATTTTGCTGCTGCAAGTAATTTGCTTGGAGTAACAGGTTTTTCCATTACCAGTTGCATCGCTCAATAATACACAAGTTTCTGCTCTGTTTGTGATGAAACACGAATTTGCAGTGATGGGGGGAAAAAAAGCATTTTAAAGCAGAAAATAAAGATGAAAAAGTTTTAGTAGAATAAAAACCGTGTTAGCTGTGAACACTTTTTTGGGAGCTGATGGTGAGACCACCAAGAGAATTCACACCTGTTGGGTTTTCAGGTGTTTGAGGTGTTTTGTGTTTCCTGTACCTGTAACAGGTGTGTTTTTAAAAAAAAAAAAAAAAAAAAAATGTGTGTGAATTAACAGGTAACCGCTGGTGGGCCATAAGCCCACCTAACCTTGGAAGTGTTCACCCCAGTGTTGTCAGTGGCCACTAATGCAAAATTATTAGTGTTGTGACATCTAGTGGACAGCCAGGGGAGCACCACAGACTAGACATTCATTCAATCAATAGAGCAGGTCTTTCTTTTGCTTTGTCTGTCAGCATTAACTCGATCATACAAGGAGACTTCACTTTGTTTTTGTTTGTTTTTTTTTTAACTTAAATGTTTCTTTTCTTTTTGTCTCCTCAGTAACAAGGGTCCCAGTTCAATCCACTCAACCACCACCTGGTATTGTTGAACTAGATGGGGAGAAATTTACACTGCAGTGGTAAGATTTATTAACCTATAGACATCTATAGTGACAATGTAACTGAAGAACCAGTTTAAATGTCTTTGTGGGAGAAGAGATTCAGGATTCCCCTTGTAGCCATCCTCCGCTGTGTCTGTATTTCATTTCAACATCTTTTCTGCTCACTTTTTTTCTTGCTCAATAACTAATAATAATTCACTTTATGCTTCTCCAACAGGCTAAACGCACACTTTGAGACAAACCCTGAGGGCTCTGTGTCTCGATCAGAGATGTACTCTGAGTACCTTGCCACGTGCAGTAAAATGGGACGAAGCAACATCTTGAACTCCACCGGGTTCCTTAAATGTCTCCGGTCAGTCCCCTCTCCTCCTCTGTCTGATGCGTTTATGTTCCACCAGCACAGACAGCTGATAATCTCTGTGCCCTGACCAAAGTATATATTACTACTAACCAACTGGAGTTCTGTTTTCTCAGTTTGCTACACAGCAGTTGCTGCTGTTTACCTTGGTAGAGCAGCTTTAACAAAGCATAGCTGTGTTGAGTTTTGACAATGATCCTCGAGTCAGATACCAGTAAATGTAAAACGAAAGCAGTTTCAGTTCTATAGATTCTTGGTAAACTTCTTTTTAGGGCTGAACAATTAATCGCAATATTGTCGAAATCGCAATATGGCCAAGCACAATATCCAGTAAGGTAAAATGTATTACAACATACAAATTATAAAAATTCAGTCACAATTAAATGCAAAAATTACCATTCCCACTCAAATGTGACATATCACAATCACATCTGTCAAAATAATTGCAATATGATTTTCTTCCCACTTAAAATCTGTTCATATTATGCAAAGACAGACTCGTAGATAGATGAGTCAAATGAGGCTGTATCATGACAGAAGTATCTGTAGCAAATGCACTTTTAAAAATAAATCACCCTGCATGCTACAGGATAAATTTTCAAGTAGCTGTATTTTGTTAAAACATGTTGAACATTAATAGTAAATGTGCAACTCAAATCGCAGCACATTTTGCATTCAGCATTTAAACTCACCAGTTTTGCCGCCCCCACCACAGGACTGTGTTCCCCAACCACACGATGCGGCGGCAAGAGGAGCCCAAGGCCAACGGCCAGGTTCAGATCCTTCTGGTTGGGCTAAGGCGAAGGTCAATCCCCTTGCCCATCCAGCTGTACTACCAGCAGTCTCAGCAGCAACAGCAGCAAAGTCCGGCAGCAGCTCCTCCACCTCCAGCAGCCCGACATGAAGCACCTGGAGACCCTCAGGCTCCGCCTCCAGGTAGAATTAATCAATCAAGCTTATGCTCATGGCTTTCATTTACTTTTCCTTGGGAGTGTAAGAAAGAGTTTTAGCTAGAAAGTTAAAATGTTCCACATGAGACTGTAAATGAATTAAAGTTGCCTGCACCGGGTTTTGTTTAGTCATCCAGGATGCTGACTGTTATTCTCCTCTGGCTCTGTTTTGAAATGGTTGACACACGATGCATTTAGTTAATCAGACAGACAGGGGCCAAATGTCAGAAGCTGAAGCGCTGTGCAAGAAAAGAAAAGGCACTTGAGAAAAGTGATACTGTGGAGAAGGATACTGGCAGTTTTACAGAGAGAGGAGAGCTGTGTACCACTGGGACCAAGATGGCTGAACTAATTACAAAGGCAAACATATTGAGAAAATGATCAAAGGAAAAAAAGTTACTTGGAGGAGCTTACTAGGGGAAATTGAAAGGAAAGCAGCTAAGCTGTATCACTTATCATGAAACTGAACACAGCACATTTGGCTACAGTGTGTTATTATGTTATGCAATAATTCTGAATATGAGAGAATGATATTTTCTTTTTGCAGCATCTCTCATATGTCAAAGAACCTGCAGGACACAGGCCATCCTGGGACCATATATGTAACTTTTTGTGGGGAAGTTGGGATTGTTGTTGTTGCTGAAGAATCATATGAACATCATCATCATTATAGGTTTTATTGAATGGAGCAACAAAGTCAACCAAGCTCACCAAATGTGACCCGCTTAGGCCTCATTAAGGGAATGATGTGAACCGATCTCCTTGGCATTAATTAATAATTAATTAATTATATTTCATAGCCTGACGTTTTTTCTCCCTGACCAGTCATGATGTTGAAGACTGTTACATGATGTTGCTACCCATGTTATTTGGCTCCATCTGTTACAGTTAAAGCTCTATTGACACATAATGTACAGTCATTGACATTACCACAATAAATTGCCTGATACAGGAAGTAGCTTTGGTTGTTCATACAAATCACAAATAATTTAATACATGTGACACCTGTCACAAGTAAACCTGCCCAGCCTGTCATTAGAAACAGGAAGTATCTAATATGACAACATTCTGGTGTTGTCCATGGTGGCTTTAGTAGCTTACCAGACCTGAACAGTTTTCTCTGTGTTACCAGGCTTACCTCCCGGGCATCCCATTCTTGGACCCCAGTTTGTCCGGGCCCCAGGCCCCAGCCTCAGCACCGGAGGTGCCGCCCCATCCATGGCCTTGACTGCACAGGAACCTCCCCATGCAAACCACCCGACTGTTTCTCGTCACCCGGTGCCCCCACAGGTGCCTCTGCAGTTACCACCAAATCCTCTGGCAGCTGTGCAGCAACAGGTCCGACCTGGTCCAGTGGTCCAGATTCCGACGTCGGCACCAGCCACCCAGAACCACAGCCCCCAGAACCCCACCGCTCTGCCTGCGGCTCAGCAACAACAGCAACACTCCCCCATGCTCCCCACGGGGACGCCAGTCACGCTATTTCAGCAGGTACCACAGGGCCACATCCTCACCGCCAGGGTACAAGGTGTGTGCCCTCCGATCACCCACCATCCTCCCTTGCCTCAAATCCCTCCCCTGTCTGGGCCTCAGGGTGGAGCTCCCCAGGTGGAGCCTCAATGTGTTGCTGCAGCATCGGCACCCTCCTCTTCCATCCAGGTGGGAGGTAGTCAGGCGCTAAGCATCACGGGTGTGCCCAATTCCCAGGGGTCACGTGTCGCATTTCAGAATATCGCCCCCAAACCAGCGCCAAACCAGTCAGGTGGACCAGCAGCCACAATAGCCACTCCCAACCAGCAGCCTCAGCCTCAGCAGCAGGCGCAGAGTGTAGTAATAGTCAGCCCCAACCCCCAGCAGAGCCCCGCCTACACCCCTGCCATACACCAGATTGTTCTTGCCAACCCCTCCGCTATTCCCGGTGCCCAAACTATCCAGATAGCAGGGCAGCCAGGAGCTGCTTCCAGTCCCTGCCCGCCTCCTGTCTCTCACTCCAACACCCAGGTCCAGCCCAATCAAACTGTCAGCCACGCACTGTCCATGAAACGGCATCAACAGCAGCAACATCAACAGCAGCATCAACCACAGCCACCGCTCCAAATTATCTCCCAGACTCCTCCCTCTCAGCCTACCTCCACTGAGTCCAGCTTGATCAAACAGCTACTGCTTCCAAAGCGAGGGCCTTCTACGCCGGGAGGAAAGCTCATCCTACCCGCTCCGCAGGTGCCCCCTCCCAACAGCACGATAGCCCCTAGTCCACAGGTCATCTACCAGGCGGGCTACAGCACACAGACTCCCTCTACTCAGCCTCAGCAGCTCAATGTCCAGCTTGTTCCTGGCCAGCTTCCTGCAGCAGGAGCTCCAGCCCTTCAGACGGTCCAGCTCTTGCCAGGTCAACTCATTTCCACAAGTAGTCCGGGGGCAGCTACCATCATCCAGGGCCCCACGGCAGCTGGACAAGTCACATTCACCGTGGTCCCCAACACTGGCTTCACCACCTCTACTGCTGCTGTTGCTGCTGTCAGCCAGGGCGCCGTGGCTCCGGTCGTTCCCCCTCCTCCATTCTCTACTGGAACCGTGCCCCACCACACCCCAGCAGCCCCACCACCACCACCGCCACCACTGCCAGCTCCCCTCAGAGGAGACAAGATCATTTGTCAAAAGGAGGAGGAGGCTAAGGATGCCACGGGGCTGCACATCCACGAGAGGAAGATTGAGGTGATGGAGAACTCGTCTTTGGCAGAAGGAGACTCCTCTAACGGCAAAGCCAGTAACGGCGATGTCGCGGCAGGTGCGAAGCTGCTTAATGGTCGGAAGTGCATGGAGTCTAATCTACCTCCATACCACTCAGGGAACAGCCAGGGGGCACTCAATGGCCCGGCTACGGAGAGTCACCCTGCTAATGGGAAGCAGGCCCTCTCCCCCGGCCTGAACACCCCTCTGGAGGGCAACCCCGACCCTAAAAAGACTTTAGTCAACGGAGTGTGTGACTTTGATCGGGGTGACAGTGGTGGCAACTTTAACAAAAACATTCCAAATCACATTGCTTCCAAACAGTACTTGGGGAACGGGGAAGTTGGCCCTTCTGAAAAGAGTCACGGCTCAGACCCCCCTCTCCCTAGTCCTCCCCCCCCACAGCAGGACACTGCCAAAGCCCAGCAGGCTGAGCGCCTGGCCAACGGACCCCAGGCAGTAGGCAATAGGCTTCCCTCGGAATTAACAAATGGACCTTTGGGGCTGGGCCACGCTGTGCTAAGACAGCAACTGCTCCCCAACTCCTCCCTCCCCCCCACTGTTACTGTTACCTCCCAGAGTCTTGCTGCCTCTCCTGCAAACGGAGTGGCCTCCGAGGCTCGAGGCCTCAAGAGGCCGGCTGAGAACGAGGACCGCAGCGCAGCGGCAGCATCCTCGGGGATCCCCAATAAAGTGGGAGTGCGGATCATCACCATCAGTGACCCCAACAACGCCGGCAGCAGTGCCACCATGGTGGCAGTGCCAGCAGGAACAGACCCAAGCACAGTAGCCAAAGTAGCAATAGAGAACGCCACTCAGCAGAGGAACTGCTCACCCACAGAGGCAGCTGGCTCAACGGTGAGTCACTGTAGGGTAGTGTGACCTGATGTCACGCCTGTCACAAAATATGAATTGCAAAATATGTCTGTAACAGACACACTAGGGTGAGTATTTGCATTACCAAGTCATGTATGTTGTCTGTGACTAATCTAATTTATCATGTACTTTTTGGTTAAAGGTATCCTAAACAAACGGCTTTATTTACACCAAAACACATTATATGTGCCCTTCACATTCTAGCAGACATGTTGGGAACATCTCCTACTGCAAAACATATGCTAAGCATTTTTTATCTCTTATTTTCTTAAACTTGCATTATGATATGGCCAAACACTTTTTTTCTGCATGAAGCAAAAGGTCTCTTCTGGAGGTCTTCACTCATGTTTTAACAACCCAGTTTTTATGATTTTAGACATTTTACACTTTACTAAATCAAAATGTGGCCTTAATTGGATACATTTATCTTGAAGCTGTAAGTTGTGGTCTTGTTTCTGTGGTATTAGCTGAGATACAGCAATTATTTAACTCTCAGTAGGATTCACTGTAACTTGATACAACATACTATGACTTAAGACTTGTTCTCCAGCAGAAGCAGCTCTTTGCTTTCTCACTTCAGTGCCTCCTTCTCTCTTCATGTGTCACTGAACAAGTTACATCTACAGAGAGGCATTCACATTTACACTCACTTCATGTGTGAGATACTATACACGACACTTAAATAAGCATCATGGGTAAAACATTACACTAAAACAGCATGGCCTACGTCAAGCCCATGTTTATGGGTTGCATGCGTGTGCCTGGGAACCGGCTTGTAGAGCACACACAGCTCATCAAAACATTACTCTACACTGCCACTGGTGGCCAGAAATGCCGCAGACTGTGTTTTAATGTGGTTTCTGGGTTTGATTCTGAAATCAACCGTTATGTAACTGAGTTGAAGTGGCACATAATGTACTAGATGTGTAATATTGTAGTGTCAGGCCACAGGCTAAGTCTTTAAGTCTCAGCGTGACAGCAACTTACAAATTTTGTGCAGTTAGGACTGGGTCATGTTATTACTCGGATTGCTCTGTGTGTGGGAGATAGAGGGCAAACACAGTGTATTTATTACAGTGTGTGCAGGTTGAAGTGAAGAGTATTTAATTGAAATAGTTTTTTTTTTTTTTTTTTTAAGCTGTGACTATGTGTCTGCTGCACTGGCCTGTTACTACATGCATGTTATGACACAGGCTGTGTGTAAATCATAAAGTTGATAACCTGTGTGTCATACAGAAAGTTATGTGAATGTGCAACTGCATGTAAAATTCCTTTCCACAGAGTTATGGATCCAATATAATGTCCCTTACATAACAGGAGTTCTGTTATAAGGAAAGTGAGGTTGGAAAATCCAAGAGAAAGTTGCCTGTTTGAATGTAAAGAGTCTATTTTCCCCTTTCATTTTATGATACAAAGTAAGGTTTCTGAAAACTTCACCTACGTCCAAGGTGCATGAGGAAAGGAAAAAGTCCAAAGAGGTCTTCGAAATATTTAAAAAGTCAATCATACATCTGCGAAAAAGTGTAATTCTAAGAGCAAGAACAAACGAGTAAATACAACTTACTGTGTAAACACAACATCATCAAATACACACTTGCTGCACAGCACTTCCTGTCATGTTGGTTGGAAGGGTTCAGGTGTGGTGAGTTGGAGGTTAAGAAGGTGAGACCAGTTAAGACCATGTGGCTCTCACCGATACCCACCTCCTATAGTAAAGCAACTGAGAGAGCAACTTCTGCCAGAAGACAGGCCGGGGTTACATCTCAGCCAACAAGACCTCTCTAACTTCTTACCATCTTATCATAAAAATGACAAATGCTATATTGAGGAAAAAAATCTACATCATTCTTCTAATGCAGTTTGTGTAAGCCCTCAGTGAATATTCTGTTTTTATTTACAACTTTTACTTTAAGCCAACTACCACTCTCTGTGAGGGATATGTAGTGATTTAATATTTATTTGCCTTTTGTAATGATATGTCTCCTCCCCACAGCCGACCGTAACCCCGTCCCCGCCCCCTGTATCCCAGCCTGCACCAGCGGGACACCACAACCCTCACCTCCCAGCACAGCAAACCTCCGCAGCGCCGCCAGAGCAAAGCAGGAAAGCAGGGCAGAACTTCAAGTGTCTGTGGCAGTCCTGTAAACGGTACGCGCCGGTCGCCTCGCGTTCATATTCAAGTCCATTTTTATTCGTATAGCGCCAATTCACAACATAAGTTATCTCAAGGCACTTTCCAAATAGAGCATGTCTAGACCTACTTATAATAATATTTACTGAGACCCAACAATTCCCACCAAGAGCAAGCGCTAGGCGACAGTGGCAAGGAAAAACCAGAACTGGACTCAAGGTGGGCGGCCATCTGCCTCGACCGGTTGGGTTGGGAGAGATAGAGAGAGAGAGAGAGTGTACAAGCGAGTGTATAAGCAGGAGAGAAAGAGAGACAGAGAACATGCAGTGATAGCAATATTAATAATGGTGATAGTAGTGGCGGTAACAGCAATAGTAATGTAATGGCAACTGTAATACTCCTACTGATAAAAGTAGCAATGACAGCTAATGACATTAATAATTATCATTATTAATTATAGTAAATTTTAGCAGGTTTAGCAGCAGGTGTTAAACAGGATCATGGGGGCAGTAGGGGGTTTGCAGACTCTACAGCTCTGGGGGGCGAGGGGACCTGCGGAGAGTGACAGGAAGGAGATAGAGAAGGAGAAGGGAGAGAGAGAGGGACACAGCCTGGGCGCTCATGTGCTTGAGGGAAGTTGATAATTACCCTCAGTCGAGCCACTGTCAAAGACTCTGCTGATTCGTTCCCGTTTTGTTCTCCAGGTGGTTTGAAACGCCGTCTCAGGTGTTTTACCACGCAGCAACGCAGCATGGTGGAAAGGATGTGTACGGAGGCCAGTGTCAGTGGGAGGGATGTGAACCTTTTCCACGGCAGAGACTGTCCTTCATCACACATCTACAGGTGAGACTCCCCCTACTTCTCCTCTGGCTGCACAGGGAATCTCTGTTTGTCATCACACTTAAGTCACAGGATCAATATCACCACATTAATATGAAATTACAACAATGTAACACAGACAAAATTTACCTTAACTATTCTCACTCTTTGTTTCCCAGGATAAGCACTGTTCTCGAGAGGCTTTGCTGGCTGGACTCAAATTAGAGGAGCAGCAAGCACAAAGTCCCAATCAGACTTCTTCCCAGTACGTACCCCTCTGTGATTCATTTGACTTCTCTTCATGGTCGATGCCTGAAACTACTTTAGACCTGCTTGTACACTTGAAACTAAACTACTAAAAACTAACTACTGATGGTTGTATTTGAGACAAATGACACTAATGTGTGCGTGTGATGTATTGTAAAGGACTCCGCCAGTGTCTGGCAGTACTCCGGCACCGCGAGCACCGAAAGCAATCGTCAATCATCCGAGCGCAGCTCTCATGGCCCTACGAAGAGGCTCTCGAAACCTGGTCTTCAGGGACTTCACTGTGAGTAGAGCAGGGCTGACCATGACCATTTTTTCTCCCCGAATTTCCTTCAAACTCACACAAACACTTCTATGTGACTTCTTAAGCTCTTGATCGGCCGAGGGTAGACTTAAGCTGCTCTGAAGCTTTTAAATCCCACTGTTTCCAAGCACCGGTCAGGATTGACTGGAAATGTTGGGGGGGGGGGGGTTTGGCCTTTTCCAGGCCTTAGGAAATTTTGAAAAAAAAAAAAAAAAAATTTCAATTGCTCATTAGACTGTAGATGCAATTAAACAATGTCTTCACCCATCATTTTCTATGTTATGTCATGAATTCTAATTTACAAGTGGCATGTCTCTTTTAGGAGAAAGTTTGTTGCCAAGTAACTGTTACAATTAGAAACAAATAAATTCAGTGTTTTTCTTACTCGTCCTTGTGTTTGACCTTGTTTTTGTCTTTTAAGTGTAAAACCTACTGAACCACTGTCTTCTATAAAACTGGAAACAATGAATATATTTGTTTGTTCCCTCTCCCAGGATGAGAAAGAGGGACCAGTGACCAAACACATACGACTAACTGCTGCCTTAACGTTAAAGAACATCGCCAAGCACTCTGACTGTGGTCGCATGTAAGTATCCCACTGGCATCCAGGTGGTTTTGTTCAGTGGTGACAGGATGGAACGATAAAAATAAATAAATAAATATAAGCTTAACTGTTCATTTTCAACGTGTTCAGGTGTAGCTCACCTCTCAGTGCTGGAATAAAGATATTCGTGTCTTGAAGACTCTAACTTAAGGGTTGTATCTTTTTTTCTTTTTTTTTCTCTCCCTTGTCTCTCAGGTTGGTAAAGAGGCATGAGACGCACCTCTCTGTGCTCGCGCTAAGTAACATGGAGGTTTCCACCACGCTCGCCAAATGCCTTTATGAACTGACGCGCTCGCTCCAGGCTTAACGCCAAAAGGACAACCTCTACAACCCCCTCACCCACCACCCCCATCCCTCTCCTGAGACGAGAGGACGAAGCCACCGGTGAGCCGTAGCGGGTCCACAGTGGGGGAGCAGAGGGCGGGGACCACCGCAACGAAGACCCTCCTTCTGCCGCGCCTGCCACTCCCCCATCTCCCCCTCTCATCCCTCACCTCCTTCCTTGCCAACCTGTGTTCCAAACCCACCCCCCTCCATCCACACACACACACACACACAGACACACACACACAAACATACACACACACACAAAAAAAAAAAACTGCCACGGGGTCTTCCACCAGCTGCCCACCAGGGGGAGCTCTTTACGACTGCTTCCCCACGGGACTCCACCGACGAAACCCCAAACACGAGCACATTTTGTTTAAGTTCTTTTGTCATTTTTGTTTTCTCTCTTCGTCCCGTGAACTGATGTGTGCGTTGGAGTGAGCGGCTGTCGACTGAGGAGTACGGGTGGGCAGGGCGGCGGGGAGGGGCCTGGGCTCTTGTAGGTGTCCCGCGGGGGTTGGTTGGAGGGGGACTCAGCTGGCAACTGGCGCAGAGAATTTTTTTTTTTTTTTTTTTTCTTTAGAAACTTGGTAGCTTGGTTTTCTTACTTGAGTCAATATATTTTCACTTATTTATTATTGAAATGAATACCATTACAATTAATGAAAAAGAATCTTGTAAATATGTTGTGAATATATATAAAGAAGATCCTCTTTCATGCCGATGCAGCCACTGGAGAACTTGCTCTGTGGAGTAATAGAAGCATTACTTTGGTAGGATTGAATAAAGTAGTATGTTTTTTTGTTTGTTTTTTGTTTTGTTTTTTTTTTTTTTGCTTTTTTATGATCCCTGGTCACTTGTATCTAATGTGATTCTATACTCAGCAGTGGATGAATGTACTTAAAAACCTGTAAATAATTCTGCAAAGGTACTGATGCTGTAAAGCTTAGGGAGGGGGAAAAACAGTTTTTTGTGGAACTGTGACATTTTTTGTATTATAATACCTTGTAGAACTCATTTTGCTGGCTGAAAGAGTATGGAATAATATATCTCATGTCATTTTGTAGAAGAAAAAAAAATATTGAAGGTAATCTCTTTCCTTCCTCTTCCCTCACACACCCTCCCCTCAACACGCACACACACAAGTAACATATATCCACTGTAAGCGTTTTGTCATTGTACGGGCACAGTGCGCGTACCAAAATTCTTTTGTATTTGTAAATTGGTTTAAATACATGGAGTTTTTATACAGGTTTTCTCCTGTGTTCTTTGCTTTACGTGCAGGTATGATATTTTCTTCACTACTTTTTTCTATCTTAATATAGTGTGGAGTTTTATTGTACTATTTTTTCATTCTTAATACCATGCCACATTCCGGCTCACGTCCTCAGACTGTCCTCTCTACCGTGTGTTGTGTAACATTTATGACTGCCTGTCGTATTAGCATCTGACCGGGGCGACCCAACCATCCTCATTTCTGCGGTGTCAGTAGGATGTGTGACTATACATAGACCTAACAGTCTGTTAGAGATTGGCTTTATTTACTTTGGTGACTGTTTATAGTTTTTAAATAAAACACTGAACATTTTGCTTTGGTTCTATGCTTGTTTCTTCCTTTTTCCCCCCACATTTGTCCGACTTTCCTGACTTTTTTTTATCAAATCACATTTAACAGTTTAGAGCAGTGATTCCAAACCAGGGGTATTTGTACCCTGGGCAGCAGTTGCCGGAGGCTGCATGAATTAGGATTTGATTAAAAAAATAAATTTGCATATTGAGTTGGCTGTTATACTTGAACAATACATGTTGTGGTTGAGTACACAACAAGTAGTTAGCAAGTGAGCACAGTGGTCTAAACCAGTGGTTGTCAAACTTTTTCACATGAAGGAACCCTAAACTGACACAAATTAGACCACAGACCCCCATCGGATAAGATTTTTGCTTTTACATGTTTTATTACACCAGGTTTTTGAAACCTGCAGCCAGAATAGTCATACATTCTGTCATTGTGTTACTTAAAGATGGAATTATGGTGAAAATAAATTATCCCCCTTTTTGTTGGGGACCCCACTTTGAGAACAACTAGTCTAAGCCAAAAAAAGGTAATGGATAAAAGGTTGAAAATACCACATGAACTGTTTACTAAACCGATAACTGGAAGTTGCTGATAACAGTAAATAGTTCAAATAAATTGCTAAAAGTAGTCTAAGTGATGAATTAGCTAGAATATAAGTAAAAGTAATGGCTAAATGGTTGAAATGATTAGCTAAAAATTATGTGCAAAGCTACCTACTTGAAATAAATGGCTAAAAATAACCAAATGGAGAAATGAGCTAGCTAAAAGTAATGGAGAAATAGTTAGCAAAAACTAATAACTAATGCTAAAAGAATGAAATAGAGTCCTCAAAGTAGCCTAATCGATACATTTATTAAAATAGCTCAAATTAATGGATAAATAGTTGAAATAGCCACACGTAATGATAAATGAGGATAAATGGCTGAAACATCCAGCTTTTGCTACTCCTGGTGGTAAACTGACCTAAACTCTATAACAATATCCACTTTAATCCAAGTATTAGATTTAAGTAACATTCAATTTTTGATCAGTTTAGTTAACACGTTTGAGACATAAGAATGACTTAAATTAATCAGCTGTGGAGATACATCTGGAAAAAACGGTTGTGGAACCACTGCTGCAGAGAACACCAGCTAACAATGAGTGTTTAAGTGCTCTCATCGTGGCTCCCTGTGTTCTCTACTGAATAGAGGCAATTGAACAGATGCCTGTGTTTTAATATTCAGCACTCAGTTTTCCTGGTTGGTAGTTGGGACTTGAAACAGCCCTCTTATCTGATATAACCCAACAAGCTCCATTTGTTCTGTTTAACTACTGGACACTTTCCTCTGACTCATTCCTTTCAACATAATTGAATTGTTAATGACTTTGCTGAGCGCTCCACTTTCCACAGCTCCCGAAACATATTTTGTGAATGTGAGAATTTCTGCATTAGTGGAAAGACTGCTCTGGGTCACACTTTGTTTGTACCTAAAGCATAAACTGAGTTCCTTCTGTTTAATTTGCTTTTTGACGCCATGTTGTTTGCTCGATTTTTTTTCTATGATGTTTCTCCGAGGTATAGAGCATTGAGGTTTGTATTCAATCGCTGGTACACTCTGTTCAGTCATGGTTCCTTTCACAATTTTAACAACCACAAATGTATGAATTATTTGCCAAATAAATAAAAAATAAAAAATACAGGAGACAAAAAAAGCATGTCAGTCATATCCACCTGACTTTAAAAGAGGGAAGGTTGAATACACTTTCTGTGTGCTCCACCACCTGTTGTTGTTGTTTCTTTGTAGTGTGAATGCCTCCAGACGGACAAATCCACTTTGCCCTGCAATGCTCGGCGGCGCCGGTTGGTGTCGCCAGCTGCACCAGCTCTCAGTCAGACCGCGAGACATGTGGCTGAGACTTTCTGAAAGCTACGCTCCGTTTTTAGCCAAAAACACTTCCCAGATAGCGCGATTCGTCAGCATTTCATAGCAGGAGTTTGGACGGTAAAAACACATAACGAGGTGCAAACCAGCCGCAGCTGCACTTATAGGTGAGTAACGACACTTGCCGCTTGCTAACTAGAGCTAACTGCTAGCACGGTAAAAGCGACGTAGGCAGGTGCTGTTGTTCAAAGCAGCTAGCTAGCTTTCGGCTAAATTTGCTGCTGCTACCTAGCTAGCTAACTTGTGACCTTCAGTGCAATCTTCGTGGCTAATATTAGACACTATTTAGCCTTGTTTGCCGCCGTGCTAAAAACAGCCACTTAGCTAGTAGGTAGCCATGTTTTTAGCTAGCAATAGCTGTCTGGCTAACCAACAACAACCATGTTGTCACCGTCGTGTTGGCAATGGTTGATCAAGTTGCTAATTTTGTGTCTGCAGGAGCCAGGCCGTGCTTACCCAAAACGGCAGCAAGCTTTCTCAAGTAACTACCTGCCAACTCAACTGCTCTTTAGTTACAACAATCACTTCATTAGGATTCAATCTAACGTCAGGCTACAGCTTGATATGAGATTTTTAGGCTAACAAGTTAGCCGGTGGAGTTAAATGGGAAGCTAAGTACAACGAATAACAGAGTTGAAATGACAGTTGGAGCACAAGGCTAGAGACTAATGGCCTGTGTTGACTTGGTTTATTTTAAGTGTTTAGAAATGAGACCCGAGGGTCCTCCTTCTCGCAGGCTGTGGCCTGAGTCCGTTGAGTAGGTTTCACTTTTACAAATTTTAAAATCGCCGTACTTAAAGTGGGGAAAACAAGATTGTTGTGTATCAGCCACCAGAGGATTTAAGTCTCAGGCACAGGATTTCTTGCTCATTGTCAGCTAGCTGAAGAGCTGTGATGGCCTGCTGGACTAATGCTTGTTCACCATGACTCAGAGGGTAAATAACAGTCTGGATTCTGGACCTTAAAGTCAAAAACTCACATCTGATCAGATTGCTCAGACTTCTCAACTGTTATCAATAGTGGCTGTGTGTATTGGTTTTAAGGCCACTGGTCCCAAAGGAAGTGAGTCAAAGTAACAGCAAGATACTTCACTTTCACTTCTGGAGTTAACTATGTGACAAGAACGCTTAAAAGTTCAAAATTAAGGCTGCAAATAACAATAGATGACATTATACATAACACATAATCTGTATATGTAATTTTTTATGCTTAACAAATCAATAGTTTAGATTATAGAAGTTTTAAATAGTGTAAAATCCCACACAATCCCTCACAACAGCCTGGCCAAGATATCGGCTGAAATGAACTTATCACACATATATATTATTGATAAATTACAAGAGATCGCAGTACAGATATACCAAAGATATTGGTATTTCTTTGGTAGGCAATAGTTGTGTTGATGCATACCACGTCATGTCCCTGGTATGATTCTGTCATAAGAACATATGTTGCATGTCCAGCCATCTCCTTACCCATTTATTGTCTGTTTGTGCTGTTGTCAATACAGATAAGAATAAATAAGAGTGACTGTGATGAAGGCCATTAGCTGAAAGACGTTTGTCTGACAATAAAGTTGCTCATAAGTAGTGCTGAGTTTTCTTCAGATTTTTTCCCTTGTCCATGGATCCTAGAAGTAGGTGAAGTCGAGCATTCCTGACTCTGATCTGTAATAAAGCTTAGAATGTCAACAATAACATTTACAAAGGGAAAAAGAAATGACTAAGATACTGTGTGTCACACAAGTAGTGTGACCATTACCAGTTTATCCACCAGGAAGCACTAACAAGTTTACTTTTCCATCAGTGAAGTGCCCCCTTCTCTACATATCTTGGTCTTATTTCTGTAAATAACAGACCACAGGGATTACTGGATTCTCTCTGTTTTTGTGTAAGCATCTGATATGATTTTATAGCATTATTAAAACTTAAGGCTGAACAATTGATTGAAATATTATCAAAATCACAATGTGGGCAAATGCAATATCCAAATTGCAGTAGCTGCAGTTTTTTTTTCTTTTTCGATAAAGGTAAAATGTGTCACAACAGACCAACAAAACCATAAATAAAGTAGTGCTACAGATATGCCGTGGCCTACGAATCATATTCTCCAGATGTAAGGGAACATGCTTTTTTGGTACATGACCCAACAAAAATCAAATCATCATTTTTGTTTTGTTTTTTTTTTCTTGGTGAAAAAAAAAAAAAAAGATCATTCCAACTGAAATCATGAGTCGTATCACAAATGCATCATCTGTCAAAACAATTGTAACATGATTTTTTTTTTCTTTGATGTGATGTATGTGATCAGGCTGTAATCCATACATTACATCCAGGTAACTTCAATTTGGCCTGGTTTCATTTCTGAATAGGAGGCGACTGCTGTACGGTTGTTTACGTTCATTCATTCACTGAAGTAGAGCAGTGGTCATGGTGAGAGGATGATGATTTGTAGTGAAAACGTTGCTTGATGTACTTTACTGAGAAGGAGAAACCTGCCAAGGTCTTCTTCAGCTTTCTTAACACTGTCGTCACTGCATACAGAAAACACAAGCAACCCACTCTAACCAAGCTTTGTTTGTGGCATGTATTCTACCAGGTGAGCTACCAGGGCAACCCAGATGTTGGCAGATGTAAACCATCGTATTTATTGGTCCTTAAAGACTGAACACAGTGAATTTTAGAGGTGGTGTAATTGTATAAGTCCAAGCAAAGATGAGATGAAGACATGCTTTGTGTTGAATTAGTTGTTGCTCCTCATTAAAAGCTCTTCCAGACCTCGTCTTAACAAATTCTGCATCGATAAAAAGATACATTTAGATGCAAATTTGACCAGGACGCTGCAAATTGACATAAAGACGCAGCTGTGCAAGGTGAAAATGTTTCTACTTGTCTTTGTAAATGTATCTTATAGAGACCCACAGACACAGTCTGTGTGTGCATTGCTAGCTAGCTCACGGCTAACGTACAGGTGGTACATTGGCTGATTTAGGCAAATTAGCACAAACAGTGCACTTGCTTCTTTGAGGCTGAATGTTATTTCTGCTAAATGTGACACTGGAAGCTGGAAACTATGGGTGTTAGACTTTGACAATGTATCAATACCATCCAGACATCCATTTTCAGCTGCTTAGTCCAGGTCTGGGTCACCATGACAGGAGGCTAAGAAAGGAAGTCCAGACATCCTATCTCTCCCCTGGATGTCTGAGCTCCTCACTCTTTCTCTAAAGACGCCTACAGACTGAGATTTCATCAATCTTATAAGTTTTTTGCAGGCCACAATATGCAACATGGATGTGATAAATATATGTAGACTGTGCAATGATAACACCTGAATCGGGGGGGGGGGCAATTTTGCAAGAAGGCCTTGAGCTAAGTATTTTTTAGCATACATAAATGTATGTAGCCGTTATTTTATGCTGCATGCCTATTGTTTGGTTAGTAGATGTAGGTCGCAGCAGCAGACACATTGTGAGATGGTCATCCTAGATTTTGTTTTAGGCTTTCATTCTCTTTCATTGGTTGAAAGACCGTGACAACAGCAATCTTTGAACCTCTCTCACTCTTTGAACAAAACCATTTGTCTGCATCCAAATGATTGTGCTGTTTCTTTTGCTTTGTCTTGGAAGAATGAAGTGTCTGTACTTTGATTTTCTCAGTAGTACTTTTAATTTGGGAGTCACGGAAGTGTCTGTGTAGGCGGTGCCAGCATTTATTGTTTTTATGCATTATGTTTTGGGGTTGTCCGTCTGTTCAGTCATCTAATTCTTGTGAACATGACATCTCAGTGTCACCTTGAGGGAATTTCTTGAAATTTTACTTTCACTTGGACCCAAGAGTGAACTGAATAGAATTTGTTGGTCAAAGCTCAAGTTCACTGTAACCTCACAAAATGCTTTTTGGTCATAATTCAAGAATTCATATGCTAATTATGACACCATTTCACACAAATGTCTAATAACATATAATGTTGAAGTGATGACATATTATCTGTGACATAATGTTCTACAGAAACACTTTTCTCCCCGTTATTCAACACCATAACTCAGGATCAGAGGGGCAGATTGTGACTATATTTCACATTTAGTCAGATACCGAATTGGTGACACTAATCTTGACGCCCACCTTGAAACTGTCGTAGTTGTTTTGATCTTCTGTGCTGCAGGTTTGAAGATATGTGAAGCAGCCACATGTTCGAATTTGGAGCTTCTTTGCTGAAAAATTTTGTTTTCTGTCATAACTACAACTTTGTGTTTTATCACATTCAGCTTTATTGGCTGAGCCTTTTTTTTTTTTTTAAATTCCATCAGAGTCCTCACTACATATAATGGTCTGGATGGAAGTAAATTTAAACCGTAACTTGACTCACAACTGCCATGCAGTAATTCTAGTTTATAATTTGTGGGAGCTGTTAGTAGGGAGTGGCTAACCATCTGAGCAGAGGATGCAATAAACATGCAAATCATTAAAAGCGACACCCCATACTAATAGTATGAGCTCACCTCATCTAAAACACGTACGTAGTAGAGATTTGTAAACATTGCCAACCACTGGAAACGTAAACTCACCAATCTAATGGGTAAAAAGTCACTCTGCTGCTGTGATGATGCATTTTAAGTTTAATTTCCCAGTAGACTAAACAAAGTACATAACCCTCATCAGCTGGACTCCTCTCCTCTTTATCAGCAATACTTCCATCTTCATTTTCTCTCTGTCTTTTCTCTGTGTTGTAGTGGTGATCAGGACAGCCCGGGGCCGGACATGACTGGAGCTGGAAGTGGTGAGTGACGTTGAAGGCTCCATGTTGTGGTCTTTCTGCGAGACTAGAAAATATCAGATGATGCATCATAAAAAATCTGTCTCTTCACCTGTATTTTTAGGCGGCCAGGGTCCGCCTGACGGGACGGATGCTGAGGAGGCGGAGAGGTGTCCTATATGTCTGGGCGTCCTGGCCGGTGGCGAGCTCGCCATGCCTGATAGCTGCTGCCACGTCTTCTGCCTCAGATGTCTCCTCACATGGGCTGAGGTAAGGCTCAATGCTGCACCATTAAAATTTCAATTCCATGTAAACTAGCCATACAGTAGTACAAGCATAAAAGCATAATTTAAAATAGTGTGATTTAGTTTTTACCACTGTTTATTATGTTCCACATGTTTTAAGCATTCATCTCATTGTTTTATCTTTTAAACGATGTGCCTCTTATCTTAGTACATATGTGTTTATAATGTTTGGTTTCTTCACTTTACTTTGAAGTTACAGATGGCTCCCTCCTGCCCAGTGGACAGAAGACCTTTCACTAATGTTTACAGATGGGATGGGAATCTGAGCTGTGTTCAGGTCAGTAATCCAACTCAGTATCTCAAAGATGCCTTATGTTAAAGTTCAGCTGAAATGACCTGCTCTGGAAAGTGCATATTCTCTCTTAAGCCCCTTTTTCGACTTGTCAAAAAAAAACGCTAAGACCTGCAAACATCGGCATTCAGACCCAGGTCAAACCCAGTAGACACGGGTATTAATCGACTCCGATCAGCATTGATGTAAAGACAAAACCTGGGTGAACATGCAAATTTTGGCCCCTTTTCTGAGCTGTGACGTCTTTCAGAGCACAGACACTGAAACACACCTGTCACCTGTCCAGCACAGTGCTGTTAAACCACAAACACTGCTGCTACATTGAGCTCAGGGATGAGAGAGTGAGCCACAGCCCCAAAATAAGTTTTAAAAACACACTATCACCAATCGAAGCGTCTCACAAGGAGGCTCCGACACTGACTGGAGCACCAAGCTGCAGATGAGATGTGGCGTTTTACCAGTTTGCAGGCAGCTAACAGCTCACTCTTTCTCTCATGCATCTGCGTGTGAGTGTGTGTGCTCTGTAACAGCATGTGATGACATGGTTTCCTACATTTGTATATCCTCTCCGGACAGAAAGGCAAACCTGCTTATTCCTGCTAATTTTGGTATAAAAAGGTTATCCTCTGTCGGTGCATAGACCAGTCTGCATGCTGTTTCTTCATGTGTCTCTATTTGCTAGCTGACTAGTTTGCACTTTGGAGGACTTTGATCAACTTCAGTTTAAATGTTAAATGATGTGGTTTCTTGCTTTCAAAGCCGCAGTTTCCAGTCAGTTTGTTTACATTGTGTCTCTGTGCCCCAGCGTGTCAGCTGTCAGTCAGACATGTCAAACTCGCACCAGGTCCGCTCTCAGCTAAGCACACAGAGCCTTGATTGAACACTGTATCAGGCAACCTATTTACAGTTTTGCATTAAAATGTAATGCCCCTCTGTCATTGTTGTTTTGAAGGTTCCTGTGAAGAAGCGAGCAACTCAACCTGAAGCTGAGAGCTGCTGCTGTAGAAACCCCGGACAAAAAATCTGTCTCAAGTGAGTTTTTTTTTCTTCATAGGATCATAAGGTCTGCTTTACAGAAACTGAAGAAAATACTCTATTTAATTTATTTAGAATAATTTGTCTTATTTGAAATCAGTTTTCTTTTTGGAAACCAATACCAGAAATATTTAGCTGTTGTTTTCTTTTCAGAAATAAGCCGACAAGAAGATTGAGACGACAAAAGGTGGAGAGGACGGCAGACGCCAAAACAAAAGGACTTGTGAGGAAATGTATGTTAATCCCCTCGTTCTACAGAAACATGTGGGACCTGCTCACATTTTGTCAGGAAGATCTAACAGTCTGTATCTGTCTTTTCCAGGTAACGATGAAGACCCCTCCTCTCTAAGCAGAAAAAAGGTGCGTTTTTTCACTCGCTCCTTTTACATTGTCTCATGTGCATGAATGTAATGTTAAATCTCATTAGTGTTTGATGTATTTTATCCAGGTGAGAGGAACAGAATGCTGTACTTGGTCACTGTCTCCCTGTGTCTCATTAACAACCACATCAACGCAGGACATGTAAGTCACACTTCCCTCAGTGAGTTATTAGATTACGGTTAATTAAGAAAATTACACTGTTGGTGTTTTCTGCCAGAAGTCTGCAATAAGGTGCTTTGGTGTGATGACTATCTGCAGTGCTTCTCACTAGTTGTAAGACAGTTACAGTATCCCATTTTACAGAGAGGTTATTAGGTCAGGGGGACAGTGCATTTTAAGAAGGCCCCCTGCTGGAGTGCAGGGTACATTGCTTCCAATGGTCTGGTTTCAATTTGAACACGTTATTACATTGTTTATTTAATTTTTCCCACACCAGCTGTATGTGTATTTCCCATCAGTGTCCAACATTGACATAATATAACTGAAACAAATCTGCGTAATGTTGTTTAGAGCAGATGCAACATCAGACTATATTTTTGCAGCTGAAGTGTAAGTGATGCTGTTCGAACATTTGGGAAGTTCTTCATAAATAACTCTTATCTTTTTTTCATCTTCTTGCAGTGTAGAGCCTGTTTGGGTGACAGAGGACATCCCATATGACGCTGGTTTCAAACAGTGCAAACCCCAGGCACAAGACTGTCCGTGGCTTTCTCCTGCTGCTCCCATCCCTGCTAATGGCACCTCGAGGTACTGAAATCCCAGCTCACTGCTAATATGGCTTTACAGCATCTTTCATTAGACTTCCACTGCCTCCTGAATGTCCACTTCTTTCAAACTCCTCAACCTCAGTTTGTGACTCGTGCTAAGAAATGTAGCCAGTAAACTCAGTCTGAGATAACCTGGATGACATCGTCAGGATTGCGTTTTCAAACACTCCCTCTTGAGAGGATGCTGATACTGTGGGCGATGGTCCTCTTAACTTCATTGTTGCAGAAGAAGTGACGCTCCGTTTATCCAGTAACACATAAAAAGCTGTAAAAATTCAGGAGGTTATTACAAAGATCAGCTCTATGTGCGATTACAAAATCTTCTGGTGTGAACAGCCAGGCTTCAGCATGGCGGGCAGCTAGTCTACTGGTTTTTATTCAGAAATGGCAACATGTCAACAGCTGTGGGGTAAGTCCGATGTCACTCTGTTAACTGTCAGACCCATGGCAGAGAATACCTGCTCAGATGGTACTGATGTCCCTGCATATTTTAACTGTTTAATTGATTGTATTAATCAGTCAAAATACTTAGCACATAGACGCACAGAAATACGAGTATCTGTCCTCTTTCCCACAGTCCAGTTCATGTAACGTTTCAGAATGAGCCACACCAGTGTCAGTGGAATGAAAACCCCAGAGGAGCAAAGACGAGTCAGTTATCCTCCCAGGTCCCAGGAGCTTTAATTCTTAAGCAGACTGGTGATGGCACCGTTTTGTGAGGGACATTTTCCTCATTATTGTGATTTAAGTCTCCTACTTGCATGTTTGGGTCAGTTGTCCAATTTTCAGTCTGGTTCATGCACAGTAATCAGCATCCATCCAAACAGAACTTTGGATACACAGTATGAGGCCAGTTAAGTTGTAACTGAAACTGTGAAGTGATGATGATACAATAATGAGAAACTAACAACCAAAATCAGGAGAAAGTTTTTGTTACTAGTTCAGTCACTGATGCTTACCGTCTGTTACACAGGCAGAGTTTCCATCCCGCCAGTTGGAACCACAGTTCGTTTCCATTCGGTATCTGCTCATCTCCCTTTACCTCCAGCTCCCTGTTTGGCTCCGGACATTTTGGTGAGTCACGTCTGACACATCGTTGTGGATATCCTTTTGTGTGATGGCTGATAGAACGTAAGCTTGTTATAACATAACTTTGTACAAATAAAAAGTAAAATTTCTTTATGAGGTATCATTTGAAAGATCTGATAGTTGGGTTCTTTGATGTGTTCTTCACATTTAAATTTCTAAATGGCTTTCACACACAGTGTGCAAATGGTAGAGATTTTTGTTTTGAGAAGTAATGTCATGAAAGAGGAAGCAGGAAGTTTATCAGCGATTTAAATAGTTTAAATAGACTAGAACAAATATGTGAATACAGTGTCCTGTTTATGTTTTCACATGTTGATATATCATAAAGCAACAAACTGCAATGCTACAGTGTGTAATATTAACATTAGGGATGTTGCAATCAGCGTGTGTGGACTGATCCTGATCCGCCAATGAAGTATCATTAGCAGCGTCATGATGTCATGAGCTAGTTCATTCAAGTACTGGAGGTCTTGGTTCAAACTATTAGATTGGTCAACATATAATATTGGTATGACATTAATGAAAGTTTAAGTGGGCGCTTTATCCTCCTGAAACTGACGTGAAACGCTCAGCTGGAGAGAAGACGCATCACTCTGTTGAAGTTGTTGGAACTACAAAAAAGGGAGTCCACTCAGAATTGAGACATGGTGCCACAGAGTGAAGTGTCTTTCCTTCACAAATGATCTTTGGGCGAGTACAGACAGCATCAAGCTACATTACCCTTTAATTAGCGCAAACTGATATGACCTCCTGCTGGCAGTGAATTCTCCATTTTAACCTGTGAAAGCTCCAGTCAGCACCGGCTGGAAAAAAAAAAAAGAAGCTGCTAGCTGAATGTTTGTACACTGCTACTTTTTGCCAATGAAAAAGTAGAGTGTACAACCCTTACTGTAGTAGAATAAGGGTTGTAGTTTAGCAAATCTGTGTTTATAGATTTTGCCAATCTAGATGTCAAATCACTGATTCTGTTAGTAAATACATTGGGTTCTTTCTCCGACAGTGTTCGAGGGGGTTGTCTGCGCAATCACATGTCCCAAAGGAGGAGAGAAGAGAAACAGCCGAGCCTCGACCTCCAAAGCTCCCACCAAAGAGGCTGAGTCTCTACCGACCAGGCGATCTGGACGCAACAGTAAAACCCAGGAAGAGACTCCCGCGTCTGACCCCTCATCACTGCCTCAGTCCAGTTCATCGGACTCCGACTCGTCTACCAACCAGTCCGCCAAACCGGTCAAGACTTCTCAGGCACCAGCCAAGAGGAAGGGCAAGCAGGTAACAAACCGAAAGGCTAGCGGCAAGCGGAAAGCCACAACAAGAAAAAAACGCTCTCCTGAATTCGTTAGCAGCCCAGGAGCAAGTGAGGAGGAGGAAGAGGGTGACGGAGGTGACGACAAGGAGAAGGAGGAGGAGGAGGAGGAAGAGGAAGAAGAAGACAAAACAGACAAAGAACAGGATGCAAATAACTCAGAGCAACAGCAGTCTGATGTTGAAGGGAGCCTCAATGCAGACCAGGACCAGGACGGGTTCAACTCTGCCGATGAGCAAGAGGGTGCAGAATCAGAGAGTAAAGATGTGGAACAGGACAGTGATGAGACTCAGGAACAAGCTAATGAACATGAACAAGAAGAGAAACCGCATGAGGGAGATGAGGACCTGTCTTGTCCCTCAGACATGGCTCCTAACAGCCCTGGTTCATGCTCTGAGGGCGACGAGAGCAAAATAGAGGAAGAAGAGCCAGCCAGCCCTGTGTCCTGTGGAGACGAGGACTCTGAGAAAAGGTCTTCTCCATCACCCTCTGACTCCCAGAATGCTCTTCTGGAAGACCTGATGTCTCCACACTGTGATGAGCAAACTGAGCAGGATGATGAAATGGAGATTTGCAGCGAGTCAAAAGAAGCCGACAGTGAAGAAGAATCTCCAAAGGAAATGAAGGCAGAGTCATATGAGAGCTTGACACTTCCTGGTTCTCCCTCTGCTGCAGAGTCAGAGGAAAATGTGGCCGAGCCTGAGACAAAAGCTTCTGAGGACACTGAGACGAAAACACTTGGGTCAGAAGAAGCTTCAGTGGTGGACAGTTCTGGGGAAGGAACCAAGGCTGACAGTCCATCCAAGGATGACAATAATGTCGTCCCCATGGACTGCAGTTCGCCCATGAGTGAGCATGGGAACAATCCCATTTTGGAGCCACCAAAGGAGAGCGCTGACCCGGCTGCTGCGGGACCCTCTTCTTCTGAAAGCCAAGTCGCCAAGGACGAGAGCTGCAAGGACCAACGCGAGAGGGAGAAGAGCCAAGAGAGGAAGAACAGCAGGCAGCGGCGCTCTCGCTTCCACTCGCCGTCCTCCACGTGGTCACCGAAGAGGGACTCCAAGCGGGAACCATCCAGGCGCTCGCGCTCACGCTCCAGGGAACGTGACGGCAGCCCGCCCTCCAGCCACTCCTCCCGGGCTCGCAGCAGAGAAAGAGACAGGGACCGGGACAGTGAGAGAGACTATTCTAGGAGGGACCGTAGTCGTGAGAGGAGGAGAAGGCGATCGAGGAGTCGCTCCAGATCTAGGTCCCGCTCTCGGTCCAGGTCTCGATCCAGAACAAGGTCCTACAGACGGGGGCCCAGCCCCGATTGGGGGCCGGCATCCAGAGAGCAGTCTCCGCAAAGGAAGGAGCGCAGGGGTGGGTGGAGGTCGGGGCAGGGTAGCGGGTCTGGTGGTGAGGGACGGAGGTATCATGGAGGCACTAGCCGCTTTGAAAACGGCGTGCCCACAGAAGGCTCCCCTGATCGCCAGGGCTGGTCAGAAAATCCTGACTGGGTTACAGAAAAGACTCGTGGTGAAGCCGAGAGCAGGAACCGGGACTTTGGCTTCAGTGGCGGGTCACGCTGGGAAGACAACCGCAACAGTAGCAGTAACAGGGGAGAGACACGCGGCCGGGGGGGCCGGGGAGGGTTTGAACGTGGCCGGGGTGCAGGGCGGGGCGGCAGCGGCGGCAGCAACCGCGGCTTTTACAATCAACAGGAGGAAACGGCCGACAACCGCTGGCAGCCCAGAAACAACTTCTCAGGTACAGGCAACAATTCAGGGAATGACGCGTACAGCCGCTTCAATGAGAACCGGGGCGGCGGCCGGAGGAAAGAGTCCGAGCCCAGTGACTCTATGCTGGACCGGTCAGGATGGTCATCAGCATCAAGCTGGGCTGTCAGGAGGACGCTCCCCGCTGACGTTCAGGACTATTACTCCAAGAGGGAGAGAGGAGGACCAGGAGGCTGGAACCGACAAGAGGAGGAGCAGCAGCAGCCGACAGCAGCAGGTCAGTCCTCGTCAGTCTCTCCACAACTGAAAACCAGGACTTCCTGTTTAGTTATCACTCCACAGAAACACTGGAGGTTCTGCTTGAGAACATGGAGACGTTAACATAGGAGCAGCAGTAGTGGTGGTGTTTTGGGGTTAATGTTCTCTTTGATGCCAGGAGAAGAAGATCATTTTAGTAGCTGTAGCACAACTGTGAACAGGCTCGAAACAAACCAAAATTTACCTCCAGGCACCTGCACTTTTCAATTTTAGATTAAATTGTGATTTCTTTGAAGTTATTAATTTATTCCTTTGAAAGTCTCAGTTGTTTAACTGTTTTTGATGAGAGGCTGCTGGTTTGATTCTACCATTAACGGAGCATTTCCTGCCACATTTTCATTATGAATTGATTGAATATCTGTAACATCTGTATAAATATACAGTAGTCGAAATCAAATGGTAAATTTGTTTTAGTTTTCATACAGGTTCAAAAGTTCTTTCTGACGGTTCCTTTATTTTGTTTCTTTTACTCCTCAGATCCCACTAAAAGTGAGCCCCCTCCCCCGGCGGTCCCCGGTAACGCTCCGGTGCCGGTGATGAACGTGATTCCTCCTCATCCTCAGCTGAATGTTCTTCACCATCACTACCCCATGCAGGGCCCGCGAGGAGCCCTGCCCGTCAGCTTGCAGCCCGCAGCGCCATACGCGATGCCCCCTCAGGTCCCCGTGCACCTCCACCCTGCTGTGCCACTGCTTCAGGTGCCCGCTGTCGGCGCTCAGGGCCTCCCCCCTCCTCCCCCGCCGCCTCCCCCCATGCAGCAAGGCAGCCAGACAGCGGCAGCTCAGCCTGATGGCCACATGACTCAGGTACTGTAAACTAGGACGTAGACAGGACTACTGCTGATGGTGTGATGGGATTAAGTTCTACATCCTGTATGTCTGTTAAATTAAAATAGCTTAAGTTAAAATAAGAAAGTAAAGTTCTTTCTGTTCTTAAGCACACACTTATTCTCATTTTCTGGTTTGCCCTAGATGGCGAGTACCATAGCGGGTTATGGGAAACCCGCCCTGCTTCCCACCCCTACCAAAGCTGGTGTTGCCATAGCGACACAGGGACAGCCAGCACCCAGCCAGGTGCTGCCGTCCTCTACAACTCAGCCTGGTCATAACAAGGCTCAAGCCGACAGCTCCAAAAAAGAAAAGGTAACTTGCGGCCACAGTTTTCTCGTCACCTTCTTACAATAGAGTGTTTTTTGTTTTCAGTCAGTCTGACTCTGAATCTTCCTGCTCTAGAAACAACAAATCCAAGAGAAAGCTATAAATGAAGTGAAGACAGCCATCAAACCTTTTTACCAAAAGAAGGAAATCACCAAGGAGGAGTACAAGGAGATCGTCCGCAAAGCAGTGGAGAAGGTAAACACGTCTCACTTATACACAGTGTAGGATGGGCATCTAAAAAAAACCATCCTTGGTCGTTTCTGTGTGAAGTCCTACCAGAGAAGCAGCACTTCAATCACTCGGCTCCTCAGCTCGGCACATCTCGGCTGTGTCTCAAATCACGTGGCGCACTGTGTACACTGTGCACTCACTGGCGTAGTGGGTGAATTCCAACAGTGTAGTGTTGTCCCAAATCAAACACAGCCATTGTGCAATGCCAACGGCAGCAACATGTGACCATGATTGTCGCCTCACCTGCCCGGCTGCTTCGATTACTTGACTTAAAATGGACGTTTTACTGTCCCGTGTGTGGCCCCCGTGTCATGTGACATGGACATTACGCTGCCATCTGCACCAAACACTTGTCCTCATTCTTCTGTTGCCATTTTCACAAGTTTCAAAGTACGTTGGTGGCCCCTCCCCTTCTGCTACAAAGCCAAGATGGCGACCATTGAGGGTGAGAAGTGTCCACACTCGTTTTGAGTGAACCATCTGGGTTCTTACAGTGCACTGCACGTTGCCAGACTTTTCAATCTCAACACACACGCAGCAACAAGAAAAGATCAGCTGCAGTTTTCTTATGTCGATTAAACACACTTAAACACACCAATGTTTGTTTGACCTTTTACTGTGTTTTTTATTTCCCCCTCAGGTGTGTCACAGCAAGAGTGGTGAGGTGAACTCCAGTAAGGTGGCCAACCTGGTGAAGGCCTACGTGGACAAATACAAGCACGCCCGAAAGAAATGAACCTCTGCCCTGCTGCCGGCGCGGCGACGCCCTCGCTGACCCATTCAGCTGCTCAAGTGCAATTTCCTCAAGCTGGAATCTGGCCTCCAAACTGAAAGATGACGGAGCGCCAACATTTTTCTTTTTTTGATATCTGTACCTTTTATTGAATGATGAAGATTTTTTTCTATAGATTTTCATATTTTGTTAGAAAAAAAGAATGACCCAATCAGAAATTGTAATGCAAGAGCCCTTTATTTTGCATAGATCACGTGGCTTGGGAACTACTGTAAGCAGCGCAGGGTAGCGTGGGGGGGTGGGGTGGGGGGGACAGTTGATACTAAAGATGCAACGCTCAGTGAACGACGCCAGCTCATGTAGTGGAGAGCCCCTCCCAGGGTGCCGGCTGGTACGATGAATTTCTCCTCCGTGGCATCCTGATCGCATCGCTTATTAATTGAATATTGTCAATGTTCTTTTTTAAATATTATATAATGTTTCAGAGGAAAGCCTAGTTTAAAGATACAGTGCATTGCCTTTATTAATCTCTGTGGCCCTGTGACGGGCTGGAATCTGATGAGTGTGATTGTAATCAGGGCCCTGATTGGCTGAGGAGACGCTAAGTGGGACAGCCAATCAGCAGCGAGTGTGTAACGTAAGGCGCAGGTCCCGGGGGGGCTGATCAGGTGACACTGACCCCACACCCTGCCTGAATGTGTAATAAATGTCAATGCGTGAACATGAACTGTGCAAAGTATCCAGAGAGTAGTGAAATAAATTAGCTGCTTCCTGAAGCTCGGTGTGTTTGTCAGAGGAAACGCCGCCATTCAACATTTTAAAGACAGCAGGATTTCCCTCCTCCGTCTCCATCTTTGAGCCGTGGTGTTTTCTCAATTCATTTCCCAACAAAAGCCTTTCACACTATGGTTGGTGCGGTGATGTGTGCGTGTCCATTCAGGTCTCTCTCTCCCTTAAATTATCCATGGAAACAACTACCAGAGCCCTGTACACCCACGCAGGTCTCTACAATCAACCTGGACCTCAGGGTGTCAGGCTGACGTTGGGTGGAGCTGCGCGGGGAATGACATGATGTTACCAGACTCCATGAACTAATAACAACAGCTTGTTTTTATGCAGAGCAACAGATTTTCTCAGTAGCTAATTTCTGTTCAAGCGTCCCAGTGAGCCAGCATGCGCACTACGTCCGGGACCCTGAAAGTGAAGCAGCTAAATGGAATACAGCCATGTTTAACTTTGTTATTTACACCTGTGTTTATCCTACTGTGACGTGTCAAACTATAAAAACAGATGTAACACAGCTAACATTAGAGTCGGGGGGCGACCACACAGTCCTGAGATGAGGTCAGACAGTGGAGTGGGTTCACCATGGTTTTCACCGACCGCACAATGATTAAGGTCTACAATGATGACCATAGGCATGAGTATAATAATTTGTACATGTGCAGAATGGGTTGTCAGTATAAACCTTCCTGGCCTGATCTTCTGCAAACACATTATGAAGTTGTATTTAGACTAATTGAGCTATTTTCAGTCATTTACAAGCAAGGCTGTCAGACGCGTTCTGGTTCCAGGTTCTCAAAACATGAGCATGTGACACCTCTGTCATATATGATAGATGAATGAATCTGTGGGGTTTTGGTCTGATGGTCACATTAAACAGTTTGGATGAATCACACACTCGACTCTGGGAAATCGCAGCGGCTCACTGTCACTATGTTCTGAAAATCTGCAGCCACACAAAGATGTAATCTGAGAGCACCACAAACGGAGCTGTGCTGTGTCCTCTGGTGACCACTGGGGGGCAGTGTTGTCAAGAGAAAAGTGACTCATCCCAGAGGTAAGCGCTCCGGTCATGCTTGGTTAGATTCCCTGTTCCTCTGAGGATAATTACAAATCCACAGTTCTGAGTAACTGTATAAATATTTCCTTTACACACTCAGAGAGGGAGAGGCCCGTGCTGAGGTGGAATATAAATCTGAAATCCACCTCACCAGACGTTTTAAAGTCTGTGTTAATAACTGTGTGATGGAGGACTTCATTAAGTAACATCCGGAGCAGTTTTAACTTCATGTCCCATAAACCATAATTACACAGGGAAAAAGAAGCTGACGCAGGACGAAGAAACATCAGCATTATGTTTCAGTTTATCTTGGATTTTAATTGGACATTAGTTCATGATCAGATGCAGAAGAGGAATAAAAAAGCAGAGAGATTTTCTTTAATATTAACTATACCTCTGTCATATCTGTACACTATTAATGCTGGATGTATCTTTAATAAGTTGTAGCACTAATGTATAAGTTTAAAGGGGGCCACAATGCTGTCTGAAAGGTTTAATGTGTGTGTTCAGGTAGAAGCTAAAAACTAGATCAAAATAAGTAGGAGAGATCTATTTTTCTTTCCTCTTAGTAAGTAATTGATATTTTCTTTCAAAAACTCTACTTCATATTCTTTAAAATCAAATGTATTTGGGTTTTATTTCTCATTAATAAGGTTTAACAATTAGCTGCCTCTGTTTAGGTTGACTGGCATTCTGACAACCACCTGACCAGTCATTTGAAGGTCACTGTCAACTGCATGATGGAGGACCTGGTGTAAGTCCACTAATGTGACCAGTTTGAACACCGTGTCCTCATAAACCACATTCACAGACAAGAAGAAGCTGACAAAGGACACAAAGAGCACCAACAGCCCATGCTATAGATTATCTTTGATTTTAATCAGACATTAATTACAGGATATACATGGTGTTTCATTGAAACAAGAGTGTAACACTGGTGGGCAAAGCCCTCTTTGCTCCTGAGGTCAAGAGATGGCTGACGTACTCTCTCACCAAGACGTGCGTAAAGAACATTTTGCTAATCCGGGTTCGTGTTCAGGGGCCAAAAAGGAAAACGAGACTGCTGCCACTTTCTCCGCTGTTTCCACATGTAACATGGTTTTCACAGAATCAACACGGGAGGACAATTCAGGATTATTCAGTCAGAGTTAACGGTAGAAGCTCCGCTGCATCAGAGGAAATTCAATGTCACTGATTCACCAGCTAGGGCTTTTTCAATTTTTGTTTTACAGTTTCAATTCATTATTGTTTAAAAAAAAAAAAAAAGAAAAAAAAAAAAGTTAAAACAAAACAAAGCGTATATACAGTTGAACTCAGTAGATATATATACATATATATATACATACAATATTATATAAATATAGTAAAATAGATTAAATTACATTGATTTCACGGTTTTCCATAAATAGATGTTGGACAATAACAGTTTGGTGACGTGTTACGTTAGTGTTGGAAGCACAGTGCACCGTCAGATGACAGGCTCACGACTCGATGGGGATGTGGGTCCACGTCGAGATTTCAAGTTCTTCATTGTGACACATTTTCGATAGCAGGAATCTGTGCAGCCATACCTAAAAAAAACACTCGTAATATTCTGACGGAGGCGTTCCTCAGCTAGTTGACATGTTTGGTTGTTGGTGTTACGGAGCACACCTGACTTCTAGTTTTTAGGTGTTTTTTTTTTTTTTTTGTTTGTTTTTTTTTTTGTGTTTTTCTTTTGTTTGCAAGTTTAACAGGTAAATTACAACCACTGCATGTGGTCAAATTCAAAGTATTCTCCCATAAAGAAAAAAATTTTCAGTTTCCCGCCACCCTTGGATGGGGAGGTGGAACTGAAGGCTCGGCGGCCTCCAGGTCTCGAAGCAGTAGTGTTGTCGCCGCGCACGCTATTCCAACAAGATCTTCAGCAGGTTTTTAAGAGTTAATACAGTTTCATTAGAGTCCTCTCGTGAGATACTCTGCAGCTCCCAGTGTCGGGTTTGAGAAGAAGGCAGGTTCTGTTGACTTACACTATGTTTTACAAGGAAAGCTGACACTATAAGCAAGGTCACAAAGCCTTGGTACGAATACTGAATAGGCGGTGTGTTAGGCCTCGCCTGTCAGAACTGACAAATCTGTTTTTTTTTTTTTCACAAGTGTGCTAAACAGTAAGTGCTTTCAATATACAAAGATGCTTTACAAATACATTTTTGGCAAAGTAAAAAAGGAAAAAAAAAAAAGAAAAAAAAAAAAAGGAAAAGAAACAAATGTTGGAAGGAACTTAATTGTCCTTGAGGAGGATAAACGTTCAAGTCTGTTGCCTCTTGTCGACCTTTCGGGAGATTCACATACTTTTCTCAGCAAGACTCCGAGGTCACAGCCACACTCACGCCAAACGCAACAACACCGTACCTGAGTGTAAGCTGCATTTTGAACTCTAAGACTATGTCATCTCTGTTATGAGGCACCTTCAAATATTTGTTTTCAGCTGTACCAATAACTACACAAAAAAAAACAAAAAAACATTAAAGAGTAAAAACGAGCAAAAACGACAATGAAAAAAAAAAAAAAAAAGCTACAATAAAAAGAAGAAAGCAAGTAAAACACCATCTTTGTGGCCTATAACAGCAAACTGTACAAAGTTTGGATACATTCTCTTGGAATGGCAATGGTCTGTTGCTCAGGAAGTCAAAGCCGAGCATCAAGTGAGTTCTTTGTGTTTTTCTTCTTTTACAATAGGTTTTTCGATCTTCGTTGGTTGCGTGGTCGTTAGCAGTCCAGTGCTGGAAGCGTACCGCTCTCCCTCCTCCGGCAGGCTGCAGCAGGAGAGGCGGAGCTTTAGTGTCCGTTGGGGTGTGCGTCTGGGCTGGCTGTGGCGTTGTGGATCCAGTCCATGATGATGAGGCTCATGCTGCCGATCATGACCACGAGGCCGCACAGGAGGAAGGCGGTGGCCTGGAGAAGGAAAACGACCTCACATTTAGCTAATGTGTTCAAGCAGAGCGACTGAGTCAAACTGTCAAAATGCTTTCCGGTTATTCGCTGACGTGTGTGTGTGTGACGTGTATTAAGAATCAGCTCCTTACCCCGATCTTCTGCACAGACCTCATGGACTCCTTCTTCACCAGTTTGATGTAGAAAGCCGAGGGCAGGATGAAGATGAGCATGGCAGCAGCAGAAGCGCCTGGGAGAGGAAAGAAATTTGTCATTTTAGTCACAACATTTTGTATCTGAGCAGATTTTTACATTTATTTTTATCATCGTATACATTAACACACACAGACACTCACCGATGAAGCCAAAGATGTCCCTGATGGTGGGCACAAAGATAACCAGGGCGTTGGTGCCAGCCAGCAGGACCACGGTGATGATGGAGTGGCGGATCCAGCTGAACTCCTTAGAGGAGGACAGGTGCTGGTTGATGGAGGTACGAATCTACACAGAGAGAGAGACGAAAAGAGAGGTTATCTGACATGACCCACTGAATTCTCCTGACTAATAGTCTAAGATCTGAGCGTGACTTCTTTGACACTCACAGGGAAGAGCACCACAGGGACGGTGAGGGTGACGGCGGTCAGCACGGCCAGACGGACGATCAGCAGGACCACATCAAACTGGTAGATTTTGGAGTAGGTGTGCAGCAGCTCAGGCTCCACGCGCACTGTGTGGAAAGACAAGAGAGACCTGTTAGAGCTGAAGTACTTCACAAACACAACAGGTAAAGACATACGTTAAAGGTCCCATATAGTCTAAAGGTAGATGTCCATGAATAGTTTGATTATAGATCAGGTCTAGGTTCTATATTAATACTGTGAAAGTATCAAAGTGCTCAGTCCACAGAGAAATGCACACAGCCTGTATTCAGAAACTGAGCCTTAAACTAACTTCTGTAACTTTGTGATGTCACAACAAAGCAGTCACCCTCTGAACCTGGAACCACCATCCAACCTTGCAGGATTTGGTTTCTCAGAGTGTTTACCTGCTATATGTTTATTCAATCACTCAGAAAACAGCCAGCCAATCAGAAGAGAGGCTCAGAACCTCCTCTCTTCTGATTGGCTCACTGACCTGCTGTTGCTAAAGCTCCAGAGAGAAGCCTGAGAGAGGAGATGTAAAATTACATTGAGGTGGTTTTTGGTTCTGAAGACCACAAATATATCTTCTTATGGATCAAAACTTCAAATAAAACACAGGAGAAGAGTAAATATGGAGCTTTAATGTAAAGAGAGTTTTAAAAAAACAGGCTGTAAAGCTGCCAGAACTGGAGATAGTGAGTTAGCTGATTGAAAAGTGATCCATAACACTTTTTTTTACTGTGTCTGTTATAAAAACATGAAAGGTGCAAACATTACACCAGCTGAACATCAGCATGCTAGCACAGAGAGCTGGTTGTTCTGCATATGCCACAACATAGTTTTCTAACATTTGTTCCCTCCATTTAAACATCAGTGTTGCAATCTATTCCACTCCCACACTTTCACCATGAGTGGCTCAACTTGGCTGGCGCCCTCTGTCTTGTCCTAAAGGCGGCAAACACCGCCCAAGCATGTTGGAACAAGCGTCACAATGATTTCTCAATCTCTACTCTCCCTGGCTTCGGACTTATTCACCGTCCTCACATCAGGTTTTGCCCTATCAAGGCGGTTTGAGGAAGTCTATCGTGCTCTTGTATAACCGGTCTGATGTTCCAGGAACTTTACATTCGCTCCTGCCAAACAAACAGGAACGCAAACATGCTGGCGCACTGTTCAGCGACGACAGGTGGATTTTTTCACAGTCTTATGTAACAGGCCTCGAGTCCTGTCCTGAGCATTTTGTCCTAGGAGGGTTACTCTGTATTTAGTTTGGACCTGGAGACTTCCTCCCTTAACTTTGAATGATTGATCCATTCTGACATTCAGTATTCAGGGACAATGACTGCTTGTAAACCCGCACCGCTGGGATTAACTCTTTGTTGCTTTCTGGTCAGTCTGTTCCACTCCTCGCATTTACTGATTCATTTTTTTGTTTAAATTTCAGTTACAGAATCAGCTACATCCCAAAACTCTTCAGCTAATAGATTCAGTGAACATATTTTTATCAAAACCCCCCGAGACTTACGGTTGAAGGTCAGATATCCGAAGAGGGCGGCCAGCAGATACATGATGAACATGGCCAGGAAGGACACGTTGGCAACACCCTGCATCTTTCTGCGGGAACGGCTGTTTTAGGAGAGAGGAGGTGTGTTTCATTTAGACGCAAGCACACAGTAATCTTAGAGATAAATTTCTTGGGTTTTAAAATCGGGAAAGCGCTGATAAGGAAGCAGCTGCGGTCGGTAGTTTGGGGGAACATGATGAAACGAAAGCACTCACTCTTTGAGCTCCTCGTACATCGGCAGGATGGCCGGGTGGCACACGAAGGCGAAGGTCAGGATGGGAACAGCATAGACAGTCTGGAAAAAACAACAACAAAAAAAAAAAAAGCACGACACCCAAACATTACTAAACAGAACTAGCTTTTAGTACAAACTTAAATTCTCCAGATGTTTGCATGTCAAAGAGCTGCACCTGCGTGTTGTAGACAAAGTATTTCGGCGTGCACGCGTCCTCGCTGTAGTCCACGGCGCTGGTGTTTGGGTGGGACAAGGTCATGTTCAGCAACTTGCTCATGGTTTCATTCAGAGCGCTGATGTCTTCAGACAGAGGGCAAGGGATCTGGAACTTCTTGATGATCACCTGGAGGACAAGGCGGGGTTTTATGAGCAAACGTTTTGGCTTGAAATTTAGTAACTCCTTAAATCTGTCTGGTTGAAAAGCTTCTTAAATCCTCACGGGAAATAAACAACTTTCACTGAGACCAGGCTACTGTGAGAAATCAGGTGAAAAAACAGTCAGGATCCCCAAATCCAATTTTAAAAGACACCAAAGATGCAGCCAAATTTCAGTTTCACTATTTCACTTTGTTGTGTTTCAGTGTTTTGTGACATTTCCCATTACTGGAATCCTGCTCTTCCATGTGGGGAGGAGGGGAGCGATAGATTTCATGGAAAAACTCAAATGTTCTCTCTGACTAAGACTCATCTGGCACAACAGGATGCTTCAGAGAGGGTGTGTGTGTGTGTGTGTGTGTGTGTAATGAGGAAACTGTTAGGTTGTACTCACCACGATCACAAAAAACACCATGCAGAGCAGGGACAGACCACTGGTGTAACCAAGGTAACCTGAGAAGGGGGGAGGGGGGGGAGGGTTGGAAAAACACAAACATGAGCTACCGTTTTTACGACAGGCTTCGGCTTTAAAGCTGTGGTATTTTTTTCCCGCTTCACTTCAAGCTGTGAACATTTTTGGACCCTTTTTTTTTTTTTTTTTGAAGTCGGCCACACGTGTGAATGTGTCACCCACTCAGCAACCAAACCCTGTTTAGAAATACATCCGACTTTACAGCACACAGACGGATGCACGGCTTACCCAAGTTCCTGAGCAGGGAGAGGGGCAGGATGATGGTGAACGTCACCAGCAGCACCAGGTAGTCTCCGTTAGTGTACCACTCCCTGAAACACAAGAGAGAACATGTATGATATTACTGTCAGAAGTTATTAATGAATGAAACATTTAACTAATGAGCACCAGTCTCTGTGTAACTGAATTGAATGTATCATCAGACTAATGACCAGCTTTACACATTAAGTTCAGTTTGCTTGTCAGAAAAGCTGTTATATAATTTCTTCTTTTCTTCGTCTGATGATGTCGCCATTCATGAGAAATGTAGGATCCAGGATCCTTTTACTGGAGACTACTTCTTTTTCATAACTTTATTGACAATATATGCAACCTGTCTTTATTGCAGTTGATTCATCTGCCTTTTCTAGATGGGATGATCTGAGTAACCAGCTTCCACAGTGAACTAATTAGCTTTAAAACTGACAGCTCTGTGCGTTAACTCCACCTTCCTGTCAGACCGCTCCTGATTTTCTGCAGCTTCAGGTCCGATCAAACCTCTCAGCTGCTGCTCTGACACGCAGCTCAGAGCTTCACATCCACATATCAGCTGACACTAACCGCCCTGTGCACGATGAATGCACCACTCACAAAAATAGATGTAACAAAGCAGCACTGACGACGCGAACCACATCAATTTTTGAAACTTGAAGCGAGGTCGCAGTGAGCTCATCCCCCGCGCTCTGTCTCGATGCGGCACCGGCTGCATCCTCTAAATGGGCTCTTTGAAGGGCCACGTGAAGAGACTGAGCACTGTCCGTCCCTTTAAAACATCCAGACCCCCCCCCACCGCTCCTCCCGCCCATTATCCCTCCTCTGCTACACAACAGAAGGACAAAGACGCTGCTTCCCCTTCCCTGACTATCAGCACTTGAAAAACAACCGGCAGCCATTTTGCTCGATGTGCCACTTCACCTCGAGTGCCTCTGCCAGTCGCTTCTGCTCTTTGTCACACCTCATCTAAAATAATTTTTTTTTTTTTTTCAACTTTCCGACACATCAGTGCTTTCACCGAGTTGCCAAGTGCTCGGTGTCTTGACTCTACAAACACTCCTTTTTGGGATGTGTAAGCCCGTCTGTATTGACATTGGTTGAAGGCTTAGTGCTGCAAAACTGCTTGACAAATGCTCTATTGGTCAGATCTGAATCGCCACCAAAACTGAATCAATTGTTCTTTGGCCAGAGGCCGATCTGGCAGGTCTGCCCACCACTTTCTTGGAAATTAGTTTCGACTTGATGGTGAGTTCAGAACCTCCATTGCAGGGTCATAAATTTTTAATTTGCCACCAATATTTCAAGCTGTGTTCAGCTGTGTGGGAAAAAAATATGACACCAATATTCAAGAGTGCAGAGGAAGTCTGCGTTTCATTTACATCACGCAAAATAGTTTTTTTTAAATGTATGTATTCTGTACTAGATACTGCAGGATTTTTCATTTACAATGAATCGATACTGTAGGGAAAGTATCAAAGCCTCAGTCCACAGAGAAATGCACACAGCCTGTATTCACAAACTGAGCCTTAAAACCAGCCGAAAGGACTTCTGTGACTTTGTGATGTCACAACAAAGCAGTCACTGCTCTCAGCCACGCCCACCTGGACCCACCATCCAACCTGTCAGGATTTGGTTTCTCTGTGTGTTTAACTGAAATCTGCTATATTTTTTAATAGATCTCACAGAAAACAGTCAGCCAACCAATCTCTTCTGATTGGCTCACTGACCTGTTGTTACTAGAGCTCCAGAGAGAAGCCTGAGAGAGATGTAAAACTACACTGAGATGATTTTTGATTCTTAAAACCACAAATATATCTTCTTATGGCTCAACACTTCAAATACACTTCAAGTGTAAAATATGGGACCTTTAAGATATGATAGCCTTTGGGATACTTTGATGACACTGACTGTGTACAGGACACCTGTATCAACTTTCCAAGACCTGAAGGTGGTCACATGTGCTTATATATCTGGATACTCACCCATTGCTGGTTCCCAGAAAGGCCTGGATGACGATGGGCAGCTCGTATTTGACGATATAGAGGTAGCTTGACATGGCTGTGAAGAGGTTAAAAACTGGAGTCAGTACATTTTCCTGTGAAGTCAGCCAAGTCATGTCCATCTAAGGGACTCCACTACAAAAATAGAGATGTCTGATATTCGGTGACGGGCAGAGTTTTCCATAGGAAAGAAAAAAAGTTTGACACATGCTTGTCGAATGACTCATGTTTCTACTGGACATTACTCGACATTCCAGAAACACATGCCGGTTTCCATCAGCCAAGATTTCTGTTTTTCTTTCTTTTTTTCCCCCCATCCTCTTAGTTTAGATACAGAGTGACAGTGTTCAGTTTGTGGAATAGACTCATGGTGGATAAATATAGAAAAGTAGTTCAATAATAGTTACACAACACTTATTCCTCTGCTGCTAAAATGCCTCTTACCTCCAATGTTCTGCATGGTGATGGAGAAGGAAGCGGCGAGTTTCCCTGGCAACCCGAAGGCTTTGTAACCCAGCTGCTCGTACACCAGTGCACCTTTGAAGAGGGAAATGAAGATTTGGTATTTTTAAAATAAAACTTAACGAAGTCACTGGGGATCTTTGTGCGCACGACTGTCCGACAGACTCACCTCCTTCATTGGCCGTCTTCAGCAGCAAGTGGACAGAATACAAGGAGAAGATGGCAACGGCCATGAGGAGAATCCTGTAAACAGAGGAGAGGGACCTTTAGCTAAATGTTGACCAGGAACCGAGACGGAAAATTATCAGGAAATAAAAAGAAAAATCAGAAACAAACTGGTGTTGATCGGTGCTGAAGTGCTGCGCTGTGACATGTGCCTACACTCAGCATGGGACTTTAAAGGCCAATTCAACGACGTGTAATGACTCAAATCTTATTTCTCTTGAGAGAATCTCCCGGTTGGATGAGATGATTTCGCCAAACCAGAAGACGAGCGTTCAATGAATGATTTCCCCAAACGCCTCATTGTGAGAAAAGAGGTCAGCAATCAGGCAATTTTTAAACCTGTTGCCTTTGAGACTCAAGAGTCTGCACATTTTCATCATCCGCTGCAGTGAAAACCTGCCTTTTCTCACATTTTCACGGCCTGATCAGTAAAGACCTTGAAGGCAGCATCAGTCTGGAGGTCGTGTTAGTCGCAAGCAGCATCAGCGGGGTTGCAGAGGATGAAAGGTTTCCCTGTATGGGATCCTCTTAGCACCCTTGGGACGCTGCAGCGCCAGCACTGTGTGCCTGGGGGGGGGGGGGTATTAATAGTCCAGGTGAAAATTAATCTCCAGGCCATTCCAGACCCGACGCAGCGTTTCCCCTCGGCAGGTGACCGTCCAGCTGCTTTGAGCTAGCTGACATCATAATTGTTCCTATCTTATCACTTTATACACCGCGACTAAACAAATATATGCTTTGGCTGACCTTTTATGGGGAGTGAGTTTGTTCTTGTTTTTTTTTTAATTGTAATGGCTGATGCGAAGAGCTCCAGACATGCGTTTCAAAACTCAAAGAAAGCAGCTATCATCCATTAATCAGTGATAAAAGAGCCACTTGGAAAACTTCCAGCTACTTCAGCAATTTAGTAGCTATTTGTTTTTTTTTGTTTTTTTTTTGTTTTTTGTAATCCCCAACTTCCTGCTGATTTAGGGCTCTGATTGGCCGACAGTAAACTAGGCTCTGCTCCATTCATGATCTCCTGCGAGCGTACTCTCTGTTTACGTAACTCTGGCCCAAATGCAGCAGGATTAACTCGGCTAAGCTGCCACTCCGGCCGCTCCTCTCGTGTTTGCAAACTGACATGCAACAGCCATTTGGCGGCACCGGGAGCCGACGCTGAGTAAGAATTTGATTTCTGGCTGCGGAGTGCTTCAGGCTGGATGTCAGAGCTGATTGGGGATCAGTGCTGTGAGGTGCTGTCTGTGTGGTAGCGAAACATTTGGCCTCCTGAGATGTGTTAGTCTATGAAAAACTATTCCTCATGATGTTCTTAGAAATGCAGGCACCAACATGAACTGACACGATGGTGAAAAAGGGTAAAGTGTAATCGTTAACACAGGTTCTAAAAGTGATAGAAAATATTCAAACCTCATGATAACCAACAGAGGAAGCGCTCATAAAAACCCATCATTTGCCCTGAAGTGAACTTTCTTTTTTTCCCACTCTCTCCAGTTTTTATCTACAGCAAACATGATAGTGAGAACTTCAACTGTGGTGACGACCATCTATAAACTTTCGACCCCTGTGTAATCTACGGCTCAGGGTTGAGCGGCTGCAGAACACACACACAGTACGGGCGGGAAAAGCTTTCCCTGCAAAGCTGGAGTACATCATGACCTGCGACCTTGATGCAACAGACAAAACCACACCTGCCTGTGCAGACGCTTGATTATGAAACAACAGCACTCCTGCATCAAGTGCTGCCTTTACTACACTACACAGTTCTTCCTTTGAAATTGTTTTATTTTTCTTGCTGTTATAACCAATTCATTTTTTTTTTTACCTCTGCATGTAAAATTTAAAAACACCTTCAAAGTTGAAAACGACCCTAGTTAATAGCCTACTTAATATATGGTAGAATAAAAACTTACACAAATAGGGCAATGCCAGTGTTGGCCATTGCGTAGGACAGACCCAGGATGCCACTGCCCATGATGGCGTTGCCCAGGTTGAAGACGGACATGCCAAAGGAAGCGTTGCCCTGGTGCTGTGGAGGAAATAAAAAATGAAACAGTTAGGAAATTGTGAAAAATGACATTAAAGTTTAAAGGAGAAAAGTGTGCAGGGGGATAAGAGGAGCTCTTACATATTCAGTTTCATACTTCTTCTTCCCCAGGTTATGCTCTGGGAGGAACTTCTGACTCTCTGCGTCGATATCAGAGCATTGGCTTTAAGAGGAAACAGGAAAGAAAAGAATTGAATGCAGTGTAGGTGAACAGGATGTTCAGTGTCCACTCCAGAAAAGGAAAAAAAAAAAAAAAAATGTTTATGCTGTTTTGTGTATTTAGATGTATTTATTTAGCTGGCCTCACCTGTCCAGTGGGACCTTCTTCGTACAGTCCTGGAAAGTGTACTCAGTGCTGTTGGAGCTGCTGTTGTCCTCCTCAGGAGACATGTTCAAGAAATTCATCTCAGTTTTGGCAGCAGGTTGTTTCATACTGAAGGAACAAAAACAGATTTTTTTTTATTTTTTAATATGCATTTTTAGGCATTTCTTCTACCTGCGTCACGTCCTCCCAGCACAGCCCGTTTATTTCTAGCTGTGCGCGTTCACGTCCCTTTAGAATAATCAATATTATAGTGAGCGGGCGCGCGACTCCAGGTCATGTGACTTCTTTAGAAGAAGGAGGAGGGAAGAGGAGGGGGGAGAGGGGGGGGGGTGACGCACCGGCAGTGGAAAAATACCAGACCGGCAACCGCGTCCACCCGACATCTCAGCCCCGCTGTATGACAAAAAATCCGCAGCACGCGCCGCTCACTTTGTGCACATTTCCCCTCCGAAATCAGTTAAAAATGAAAACGCACTGTGATAGCGTCTTTTTCCACATATTAAACCTCCTGTAGCTTTTTAATGAAGCAGTGTGAGTGAGGTGACAAGAAGGCAAAGCTTCATGTCATATAATAAATCTTGACAGTCTAATATCACGTTATTAATTATCACTGGCAGTGAAGTGTGCACATGTGGGTCCACGCTGAGCCCAAAAGGCGCAACCACCAGATCCTGTTAATGACATTATTTCCACGGCCGGCTCCGATGGAAACAATGGCACGTGTTGTCCCTTTATGGGCATGGCTCTCCATTTTGCGCAGAGGCTCTGATTCATACTCAGGTTATGATTAGAGGCTTTTCAACATACACACATTCAAAAACACACACACACACACATACACAAACACGAGACACTTTAACATGTCTTTCTTTTCACTCTCCTTGTCTCTACCTATCCGTGAGGCAGTGACAGCCCAGTGCCAGCACCAGACACGAGTCCAGCACTGCAGCATCACTGTCACACCAGCTTCATTATTTATTTATTTGGACCAGGACTGACCTGGTAAGAAATGACGCCTCAGGCCTCAAAGAAAAGACAGTTCTGGCCTTTTTTCCCCCCTTTTAGATTGAGATCCACACAACTAACATGACAGGAAATGGGATTAATACTGACTTATTAGCCCAAAAGAGCCAGTGACACTTTCACTACTTTTAATGAAATGAGATTCAGAATACAACCAAAAGACAGGCAGTGAGTTGATTCAGTACAAATAGAAAATATGAAAGTGTAAAATCTAAATAACATCTAAAATCTGTTTTTTTTTTTTTTTTTTTTTTAGAGGCTGTGCCGCCTACATCCGGGAAGTGATTTGTGCCTGTCAGTAAATGATGAGGATGCCGGCAGTCTTACCTTTCGAAGATGTGGCAGGAGGCCTGTAAAATCCTTTTCGGTGGAAAAAGAAACAGCAAATGTCCGGACGATTTCTTCACAAAAAAAACCTTCTGATCCTTGAGAGTGTTTAAGGTTGAATATGAATAAAATGAGAGTTGAATGGAAAGGCCTGTTATCAAACAGGATCTGAGTCAAAACACTGGCTGACACAGTTCAAGTAATAAACACAGACAGTGTTAGAATAAAACCGACCGACGCGTAAACGCAAAGAATTTAGATTTAGTCACATTAAACCAAAATTCCCAGAGATGCGGTGCGCTCGGAAACAAGACGCTGTTCTGCTGGAGGAGGGGTGGGGACTCAGCCTTTATAAAGATGAGCATTGCATCAGCCCTACCTCGGATGGAAGGAGGAGGGGTGAGTGTGAGGGACGACGAAAAAAGGAGTGGCTTGACTTTTCTTTTTTTTTTTTCTTTTCTTTTTTTTTTTTTTACACACACACAGCGGTGACGTGGGTTTGTATACAAACACAGCGGTGACCCAGAGACGGGAGAACCTCAGGAACCCTGCAGAACGTCTTACAAGAGGTTCTGTAGAGGAGGTCGCGTGCCGTTAGAACAAGCGGCCGGGCAGAGTGTGACCAGCTGAAGCTCATACACATGAAAGAGAGCGACTGTGCAGCGGAAGCGGTGTCTCCCCTCACACCTCCGGGCAGGGCTCTGTCCCATAAAGGCTCTGACATGTTGCCTGTTTGAATCCATCCTGTAACTTACTGCCCACTTGTGGGCGCAGCAGGTCATTGTCTTCCGACGAAAGGTTGACGACCAGCCTATTGATCATTTATCAATATTCATGTATAATTTATCATTTCTGTCTTGTCCTGTTGACAAAGGCTCACGCTTGTCAAGCAGAAAGGGGAGCGGCATTTTTTGGATATTTGCGCATGCGCATTGTGGATTATCTTGGGCTCTTTCAGTACCTCATACCGCGCCCGTTTTCAGCAGGGTCTGTTATGATTGGCTGTGCGGTACCACTTGTACTTCTTCTCCACTTTGCACCTTTTCTGGCCATAGTGGTTATTTTCCACTGAAACAGGGTCTCTGCAGATGAATACATGTGCTAAAGATGAATGATAGACTTTTTTTTTTGACTTTCAAAATTTCAACAATTGTTGTAAACTTAAAAAGGATTATTTTCACACATATTCGCATCACATTAAAAAATCTAATAAAAATAAAATCGAAAAACACAAGACTGATGTTTATTTACACTGTACAACTATGTCTAATGTAACCTATACAGGAGACGGAAGTTCATTTAATATTTTCTGTTTAATTAGGACACTTGAATGTGGGGAACACACATTACACACACACACACACACACACACACACACACACTCATACTGGAGCACCCGTGGATCTCTTTGGAGGAGGGAAAAGTTATCTGGTTGGCTCAGTTTGCCCCTTTCCCACCACAAATCTGATCTGGATAAGCAGCTAGAAAATGGATGGATGGATCTTATTATGTCACTTAATCATGACAAATATCATCATCATTTCCCTTCATTAATCACAGATAATGACGTTGTTTTGAGGGGGAGTCATAGCATTAGCATCAAGACTAAAATTAACATTTAAGTGTCAGTTGCTCAATTTGTTCATGTTTACATGAGCTAAAAGTCTAAAAGGATCCAGGAAAGTATAAACAGTTCAAATAAACAATAGAAAATACTACAATAATACAATGTAAGATCAAGACAATATAAGGTCTCACTTTACCACACACACTAAATGCCTAAAATAAAAAAGCTTTAAATCAATCCTTCATGAATCAATACCCCTTTATACACTGTATATGAACTTTCTGTACTTAATGCAATAAATTATAACATACAGTATATGAGTTTTTCTATTAGTTATGACGATTAATTATTAGTTTTTTTCCCAATGTACCACCACAGTCCTGTTACTTGAACTCAAGTGACACCACCCATCATGTTCCAAACTTGATTTATATGAATGGATTTTAATCTGGATATTATTGAACACTATTAAGTTTATGGAAGTGAAATGTTTAGATCACTTACTTTTACCACTAGGAGTAGCAGAAGCTGGATGTTTCAACTATTTGTCCATTGCTGTTTATTTGAACAGTTTATCTAATACTTATATTTATTTTAACCATTTATCCTTCATGTTTAAGTAGTTACTTTTAGCTAACCTAATCCATCTTTTTTTTTTATTATTATTTACTTTTAGCTGTCCATGTTAACCATTTGTCCATTAAGCTACTTTTAGCAATCGGTTTCAACCAACCAATCTATTTTAACCATTTAGCATCACTCATCATTTTTAGTTTAGTATTTCAATGATTTATTCATTCATTTTACTTGTATCTTTAATCTTTTTATCCATTATTTTTAGCTAACGCTTTAGACTACTTTGCTAGCCTGCTAACTAGTTTTCATGCTTTCCCAATTGCGATGGTGTTCAGGTGTTAGCAGCTGACTCAACATGTGGATATACTATATGTAAGCCTTTATATTTATTTATTTTATTTTTCAAATTAGTTGAGCTACACAACTTTCCGTGAACCTCATGGCAGCTGCAGACTTTGGAAATCACCTTTGTTGTGGTTTACAGATTTGCATTTGTATTTGCAGTTGTGTATTTGTTTCCAACTCTTGTTTACAAAAGCATTGCTCTACGTTCTACGCTGTGATAGACACATACACTGAGATAGATGAAGAGATACATGAGAACCTGGACTCAAAGTGGCCTGGATGCCTGTCAGTCCAGATCAGGGTGTGAGTGCAGCTTCAAAGCGGACCTCCCCGTCTGAAGGAGATTACACACAAACGCTGTCATGTGACGGCGGCCTTCCTGATCCTCATTCACACTGTTGGCTCATCTCACTGGGTCAGGTGTATTTGTGTGTGTGTGTGTGTGTGTGTGTGTGTGGGAGTGAAATCTTCCACAGCTCTGGTTTCCCGTTTATTATGAATGCCTGGTGGACTGAGGACAATACAATCTGTTAACTATCAAGCTGGTTTGTGGACGGAACTGTGACGTCGAAGACCTGATAGATTCTGTCTCATGCAACTGCTGCTAATACAACTCATCTCTGTGACTCAACACTGATGTGCTGATAAAGATTAAACAAGTCTTCTCATTATCTTCTATTATCACATTATCAATACTATTACTATACTACTGTTGATAATACCACACAGCTTCCACCATTACATTCTACTACTCTACTACTTGTACTACTATACCACTACTGCTACTACTACCACTACTGCTACCTGCACTATAGCTATTATACTAATACTAATACTGTACATGTACATGTACTACTACTACTTGTTATATTACTACTACCACAATTACAACTTGTTTTACTACTACTTGTATGACAACTACAACTACTACTATTTGTAAAAGTACTAATACCACCACCACAGCTGCTTCTGCTACACTTACTGCTAATATTAATAACAGGATTATTACTACTGCTACAACTAGTACTACTGCCACTTCTACTATTACTTAAGTTGTACTATTAATACCACAACTACTATGTTTTACTTCTCCTACTACTAATGCCACTACTAGTTGTACTGTAACTATTACTTGTACTATTCCCACTACTAATACCACTACTAGTACTTGTACATGTACTAATACAACTTGTTACTACTACTACTACTATTTGTAAAAGTACTAATACAACCATCACAATTACTACTTCCACTACACTTATTACCAGTACTACTACAAGGACTATTACTACTGCTACAACTAGTACTTTTACTACTGCCACTACTATTACTTGTACCACTATTACTGCCACTCTTACTATTTACTGATCTATGTTTGCTGAGTTCAAAGGTCAGATACAGTTCAGCTGGGTGCATGATTAACCCTGACTCACCTGAGTGTGAATGTAAAGTAGCTCATAATGCACATTTAGGAATAAATGAGCTGTCCAGTGTGTGAAGTCAGTGTTATGAATCTGCCTCAGCTGGAGGTGAAGAGTCAGCAGGTGAAGATGAAGAGATTCCGTCTCCTCGGAAACATTATGCAACATCATTATGTCTCCCTGAACTGCTCCACAAAATGTTCACTGCGGCTTTGTGTTATTGTGAGTTACAGATACACATAGCTGAACTACTGCCATATCGCCTCAGAGAAAATACATTTTTGATCATATGCAGTGTTTTTGTTTTTGTTGGCTTTTCTGTTGATGGATACACAAAATAACAGGAAAATCTGGTTTTATGGTATTTAATTAGTGATTCAGATGTGATGCACAGAGCACTTTATTTTCCTTTCACTTTGCTTTTTAAATAATTAATATCGGATTAAATAGTTTGCTCTGATTGGGAAAGAGCTCAGTCTCCTACAAATAATATAAAATCATAAAAAGAGTTTTGGTTTATAAAAGTTATAAAGTCTTGACATTCAGATGTTGTATAAATTTAAACTCGGACACCTTTTATGGCATTTACAAACACTTTCTCCAAAACAGTGAAAGTGAATGCTGGAATTATTGATTCAGGGAAACAGACACGAACACAACACACTCGGACATCCACACACTGGGCGAAAAGAAATGAATAATTCAACAGGCGACACACTCGTGAGTGAAAGTACACTTCTGTTGATTCTCTCACTCACTGTTGATCATAATCTCTCTGTCATATACACACATTGTGCATTCCGTCACACATGAGTACGTTTGTGTGTGTGTGTGTGTGTGTGTCTCTCTCTCTGTGTACGAGCCTTTGTTTGGGGCTTAAGCTCGACCCGGCAGATCTAAGACGGATCAGGAAACTGGAGCGGGGGCAAGGGGTGCGGGAGGGAACACGGTCTGAACACCGGTGCCCGGTTACCCCCATACACACGCAGAAAAATACTGTACGTGTATTTATACAACATTTGCTATGCTGCGGGTGAAACCGGTGGAGCAAAATCTGGTCTGGGGTAAAAGGAAGCAATCCATGACCAGACCAGTCAGAGGGGGTGTGGTCAGAGAGGTCAACGAAGGCGGGTCCAAAGGTGAAAAAAGTGAAAACCAATCTAGCTAACACCAAAACTACTCCTCCCACTAGGCCTACTATAATTATAGTCCTTTAAGTCTTTCCATTATTACAACTCTGCTGTTTCTATTAGACCGACCCCTGCTACTAATGCTGCTACCACAACTCCAGCTGCTGCTGCTACTGCTGCGGTGAATAATGCTGACTTTGTCATGTGGCGGCTCACAAGTACGTTGAGAGCCAATTCTGAGAAACAAGGCTTTCACTGTAACAGAGTCTGGATCTGAGCGATTTC